TTAGAGCAGTCTGCACAAAGAGCCACTGCGGATTTGTGTCAGTGTGAAAGTTCAGAAACTCATTGAAGCCCACCTCAATACTCTCTCAGTCTCAACATGATCTATACGCAATGTCGATTACTTGCGATTCTCCAGCAGCCTGATTACAGAGATATTGCTATTTAGGCTTCCACTGCCCTGTTTATTATCTTATTTCTATATTCCAAATAATGACATTGTTTTATTCATTATAACACCATTCATGTTTTTTTTAACAGCCCCTTTCATGGCACTATCCATCACTTGAGACCAAAACCAAAGAAAGACACCCTTGCAAAATAACATTTACTGCTTCTCATTTCACTTTACTCACATCACCCTTATGTGATTGCGTTTTGCCTTTTGGTGTGTTTCTTTCTGTGCCTTAAGAATGAAGCCTGAGCTGGGGGAGACGCTTGGCTCAAGGCCTTGCTGCTTTATTTGCATTTCATCATACTCGGAATATGCCAGAAAATCTCCACCTGGTGGTGAAAGCCCCGTACTGCAGTCCTTCCACTGACAGGGATGTGTGTGTGAGTGTGTGTGTGTGTGTATGTGTGCGTGTGTTAGCGCTGTAGAGCCCCCAGCCCCTCCTCTCCCGTCTTCCTATGCCCTCCCTGTGTTCCCTTTCTCCTTCCCTTTCCGGCCTTTGTGCAGATGTATTTATTTGGGCTGCAGCAGAGACACTGGTCCTTAACACGCTGGGGCCCCCACCCCTGTTGACTCCTTTAAGCTGAGTGGAGATGAAGGTTGACAGGATAATAATGCTGATGTCAACACCACTTACAGGACAGTTATATCAGTATCAGCTCAGTGGGGGGAACTTCACACTCTGTTAGACCGGGCTGTGAACTGTGCTGGGGGCCCAGCCTTCCACACACTCAGCACTGTCTTGTATTCATGCACTGCCTGAGATTACATACAAATACATACATATGGATAGATAGACCTTTATTGTCCCCTGAGGGAAATGGGATTAAACGGACACTGCTTCATGCAAAGAACACAGAAATCAAAGAACCAATACAAATGATTCTACATTGAACAATAAACATGTAATACAGGGTCATCAGCAAGATTTCAGACTATTGAGCAGTGGATTGAGGGAGTTAGTTGCTACACAAATAATGTCAAGAGTATTTATAATATGTATACATTGTGATTATAGTAGATGTATATTTAGCTATGTTGTGGAAATAATATAAAGTTCAAGATTATACTCAGTACTGCTTGAGAAAATAACAGTAAGTGACAGTAGGCCAACACATTTTCCTGCTCGCCTCTCTGCTCCCTCTCCTCTTCTGTCCGTCTCCACATCGCTCTCTCCTGGGTCTTCTGCTGTGGTGTGGTGCTGTTGGCAAAGCGTGGGCGCAGGCGGCACACAGACGGGAGCACAGATGGGCAACAAGCTGCGCAGGGCGGCTCTGCACACCTGCTCCATGCACACAAACACACATACACACACACACACACACACACACACACACAGAGAGCTGCCACCTCACACACCGCCCCACTGCCTGGCACTATGGCACCGCAACACATACAAACACAAATACGTACTATAGTCTATGCATTCACTTACATACAGACAGATATATGTGTAGTCACATTATAGTACATTTATTCATGCAGTATACTCGAATTTAACATGATAAGATCTTATCCTTCCAATTCAATAAAAATCTCAAATTGAGTTTTGCATCAAGTTACTTTAAAATGTAATAATAAGTCAGTCAAGCATAGGCACATTTAGTATCCCTTTGGTGTTATATGAAATGAAAACCCTTATGTCTCAAATATCTCCCCACTTAAAGATTGAAAAATATAAAAATAGGAAAAAATAATAAATATTTAAATAAAAAATAATAATGAAATAAGAGCCATTAAAAGAGCTGAGTGAACATCTGTGTGGGATAGTCAGGGGGATTAGGAGGGTTTGGAACATTTTAAGCGCATTAAGGATTAAAAAAAGGTCAGAATGTTTAGCAACATACCGATAAACCTCTTAAGCGAAACCCAATTGGGAGGCTGTACGGCGTTATCCTGTGTTTTGGGGAGGAGAAGAGAGCAGAGGGGAAGGAGCAGGAGGAGGGGGCTCCACAGTTGACATTTGTTCCAACAAGGAACCAAAACGCTGGGAACCAACAGCCTGTGTGTGTGCTCGATGTTACACAAACAAACATTGTGCTCTGTTTTATCACGTTTGACATTATAGCACAACTTTTGGACAAGCTAAGAATAAGTTAGGCATGAAAAAAATTGCTCTACATTAAACTAAGAGAACCTTATTTCATCCCAAGGTGGGGACATTACAGTGTTCTGTATTGTGCAGGGCAACGGAAATAGGAAGCACTCAAAGAAGACAAAGTATATCAATTCTAAGTGCCTTAAAGAGGTCAGTATTTACATGATGTACAGGGTTACCAGTGAGCAGATAAAATTAACAGTCTTCACATCTGTTGGTACCAAGGGAAAGGGCATACCTCTCTAACAATAATATTGAGTGACATTATACAAATATACACATAAATACCCAAATGACATTGAAAAGCAAAGATGCTACATTGGAGCTGTTTTGGGTTCTGTTTGGGTGGCTGCAGGGTTGAAGGTGGAGGGGCATCCGGGGCTCGCTGGAGGGAGGGCTTTAGGGGACTGCAGTTGGAAGATAAGGCTGGATGTGCGCTACAGAGGCAGGGGAAGGCAGGGGGAGGCAGTGTCGGCGAGCTGGCAGCACCACGATAACCAACAAGCAGCTCCCGAGTCCATCCCAGCACTCTCCTCAGCTCTTCTGTGCACTGATTTGCACAATGTGATACAAAGGCCAAGTATGCGACATCTTTCATAAAATAGTTAAATATATTGCTCTGGGTTATAAATACTTCAGAGCAATGTCTAAAACAAATAAGTAGCAGTGTCACTTTTTAGTTGGATCTATAAAGTTGGGGTATAGCTGACTTTCAAACCACAAACAATATATGTAACAAAGTCCATCTAGCTCGTTCTTTGCACTGACAACAGTTGTCTCCTATCACTGAGGCCTTTGTCACATCTTTAGATTGACTTTTTCAGACAGAAAAGTGAAAAAGAGAGCACTACCCTCTCAACCCATGTCAATTGTTACTGTTTGTTTTCAAGATTTTATTCCCACAAAACTCTTTCTGGGAGAAATGTATAATTTAGTAGAATAAATATATATATCTGTTCTTATATCAAATGTTGTCAACCACTTGTACCTATTGCATGTTTATTTATTGTGGTGATTATTGTCTTAAATTGTCTTGTGTTTTTCTTACCTCTCTGTGTCATTTGTATGTTGTGCAAAATCCAGCTCTGGACTTGTTGAGTGCCAGGTGCAACATTTGAAGTGTCATGTTCCCATCAACTAAAAATGTCCCTTTGCTTTTACACATCCGGCTTGAGGCTCTACCTCTGAAATTTGAAATATTTAGCTTTTAATATGTTGGTAGTTTGTATGTCGTCATGAAAAAATCCGGTCACATTAGGCCAACACAAAGAAGATTAGAACAACAGTTGCACCTTATATTAGACCTATAGTCTCCTTTCAGGTTAGAACATGTTATACCATAAGATGAATATGAGAATACTTTGATCTTCTATGACACCTATACATACCTGTAATGAACTTCATGACCCATATGCTGGATATGTCTGTGACAGAAATACCCATGATGAGTCTCATACAACCCTGGAGTGAAATACTACACGGCTGTAGTAAGTCTTGTGAAGTCAGGCTATTTACCCAACAGCTCTGATTGGCCATCGTATGCAATTCCCCTGGTCAGTGCACTAGAGTGTCTGGGTGCAAGCGCCGTGAGGTGTAGCTTCATATGTTTGGAGCGTGTACTGTCAGATAACTGGAATGCAACTCTACAGCCAAAACTAAGATGGCTGCCAAGCTCTAAGATGGCTGCCAGGATTACAGTCGGTGAGTGAGAAACGGAGAAATCGAGACATTCAGCAGGAGGAAAGCCGGGAATGGGAATCTCCCTTGCAGTTGTGAGCTCTTTCACTCGTACGGCCGTGTATCTTGCCTCTCTCTTGCTGGATAAGCACTTCTTCGTAGGCAGAGACAGGTCTGTTTTTGTTTCTGCTCAGTAATCTGTGGCTTAGTGTGGCTGCAAGGCAAGTGCTGCTGGCATAGTCTCCTGGGTTACCCAAAAAAATGAATGTAAACGGCTATTACACAATCGTGGCTACAAGTTGCTATTAGCTATTAGCCTGACCAATGGAATACCCATAAACTTTAGGCCAATTTGCAAAGTTCACACTGTCTTTCACACATCAGCAATGCTCTTTTGACTGACTGATCCATGACTGAGCGTTATGCGCTTGCATAACGTGGTAAAGTTGGAGGATATTGTGCGTGTAAAAACAAGGCTCAAGCTGATGATGTGTGAACACTTGGTTATGTTTTTTAGAAGAAATCCCCAAGGGCTTTTCAGTTCAGCTGCTTATGAGGCCCTGGTGTGTTGAGTTTATTTGTGTGTCCATGCTGGGATTACATCATGTATTAAGTATGAAACTAAATTTACAAGAAAAAACAGATTGAGTGTGGTTGTGTGGGTGTGTGTTCATACGTGTGTTGATGCGCAAGGTGCTCTGTTTACAAGGACTAAATCCCTACCAGCAAGAAGGTATTAAATAGGATTAGGAAGAGGGATATGATTGCCTGGTGAGATACTAAATGGCATAGCTGTACTCTGTAAATTAAGACACCTTAAGTCAAGAAGGACAGACAGTGTTGAGAATAACACGCTTGGATACATGCTGTCACCCAAAAATGTGTGAATTCACAGAGATACACACAAGATGTACACCATACACCGGCACATACTGCATGAGCCTCATAAACCCACTCACACACCCCACGGTAACACTATACACGTATTATGTACAACTTTTATTATGTGGTTTTACACACACTTATTCCTTATTTCTTATTCTTTGTGTTTCTGCAGAATCTGGACAATCAGACAGCTCCAGCCAACAGGGAGACACAGACATCAAACCGCCACCTAACGGTAAGCCCTCTCGCTCAGCCATGTCCAAACACTGTCAGATTAGCATACTAGAATTGATTCCATCATGCTTATCGGCCCTAACATATTCCAATTATAGATCCAATTAGCAAACACAATCACCCAGATGTTGATCCACAAACATAGTTGCAGATGGCCAAACTCTCAAAGGGTTTCAGGGTTTTCATTCATTTTCATTTAATCATAGGCCCTGAATTCAAGATGTGACCGTGTTTATGATTATGTTTCTGTGCAGGACACCTTAGTTTTCAGGATTGTTTTGTGACTTCAGGAGTGTGGAACGTGGCAGAACTTGTCAGAGTGTCACAAAGTAAGTGCCCCCCCCACACACACAGCCACACACACAAACAAATGCACAAGTGAAGACCACCTGTGTTTGTTTTTCCCAACAGCTCCTGTAGCCACAGCGTCAGGTCCCAACTTCTCCTTGGCTGACCTGGACAGTAGTCCTAGCTACTACAACATCAATCAAGTGGCTTTGGGTCGTCGCTCCCTCACCTCCCCTCCCTCAACCAGGTAATTCAGTCCAATGGTTAAGAGTATGTAATGTATGTGACAATGTAGAATGAAAGTCATAGAAGACACTGCTGTGTTTGTTATGTTTGTGCTTAAGTCACCATGTGGCAATAGCCTTGCAATCCAAATGTGATTCTCTGTGAAGACAAGGGCATACAAAAGGAAAGTGTGAAATCACAGCAATATCTGCCAACAGTATATTGGTTTGTAGTGCAAGAATTAGTTTTCTGGCAAAGAATGTTGTTTCACTGAGGTTTGTTACTATGAATGGCATCTGGTACTAAAGTTCATCTGCATACTTAGAGCTTACACTTCTTGTGCATGTTTGTGTGTGTCCTCTTGTTAACGGATTTATCAACGTGCTCTTTTCTCCTTTCTTACTCTCTCTTTATTCACTTCTGTCGTCTGCTGCCACTGTAGGTCTGAGGTGGAGTTGTACGCAAATCTTCCCAGGAGGTAGTTACAAACACAGAACACAAAAACTCTCCTAACGTCAGACACTTTCCTGTTTAATGCGGCACTCCTCCCTTTCTGACTTTTTTTTGTTTTGCCTATTTCTCAATGTTGTTTTAACTGGTGCATGTGTCATTATTGGGGAATATTTTTTTAAATTTTTAAATTCAAACTTTTTTCTTTCTTTGGTATAAGCTCCACCAAGAGAAAGTCTTTGGACGACAGTGAAATGGAAAGCCCCACAGACGACGTCTTCTACCCTGGACGCTCCCCTGCTGCCAGCTCCTCTCAGTCCAGCGTGTGGCCTAATGACATGGACGCAGGTACTTAAACTTATAACCCACAACGTCTGTTGCCATCTCAACGTGCATGTTCCATTTCTCATTAACCACAAACTACAATATAGCCTTTTACAAACACAGCGTATGCCACCAATGGACTTCACAACCCATAACAGCTCCATGTGCTCACTCACATGGTTTTATTTCACATTGGACATCAGGTTTGAAACGTATAGTGAAGAAATTGGCATTTATGCTGCTTTGAGTTGACAATTGTTGTGGTGATGAGTCCTCACTCCCCCTCTTCGTTCCACTGCGTTCAGATACAAAATTCTGAAGTTACACAGACTTTACTGTCATGTGCTGTATGTTTAGGACAGAGCCGGAGACGATCCGGATCCACATGTTTATTCTCTGCGTATGCTGTTTGTAAAGGGCTTATGATTTCTCTGCTTTTTCCCCATAAACTATGTGCATGTGTGTGTATATACATATGTATGTGTGTGTGTGTGTGTGTGTGTGTGTGTGTGTGTGTGTGTGTGTGTGTGTGTGTGTGAGAGAGAGAGAGAGAGAGAGAGACTGATGATGCTTGAATATTTAATCGTTATGTACCCATTTATAAGCCCATTTTAAATAATAGCTAGTTTGTCACACACACCAGAGATGCCCTCACTTCTCAAATCTAGAAATCCGATGGCAATATGATTCCACGTGATTTGTTCCTCCTTTTTGTTCCTCCTATTTTTTTTTATTAGCAGACAAAAAAAATTAACATTTAACATATATACAAACCTTCTTCAATTAGATATATAGACATACATTCCTCCTTTTTCTTAGTAAAGCACAAATACACTCACATATTCAAGAGACAAGTATTTATTTGCCATTTGCAGTAAAACCACATTGGAAAAACTATGCAAGACTACTCCAGTGTGCACCAGACAGCACACACCAGAGCTCTTGTCACTGCGCCAGCCATGTATTTTCTTTCTATTTCTTTCTGTTCAATCTCTCTCCTTCTCCATGCTGACCCTGCCTCAGTGTTAACAATACCTTTCTTGACTTTCAGTGCAGCACCATTTGGCGAGTGTGCAAGAGAGGAAGATAAAACATGAAAATGATGGCGTGCAGTTTCCGTACCATGGTTAGAGCATTGATTACACTCATGTATCTTGATCATTACAAAGTCCATTTCACTATGTGCACAATATGTATGAATGAATGGCATGCAGACTGTATCAATAGACTTTGTATTGGAGGTGTCATAAGCAATCACTCCAGTATAGACCATATGTCAAGTTGATTGCTTTGCATGTATTAAGCTGTTTTTAGCATTACTTTTGCAGACAGATGTCACAGAGCTGACATTGACAACACCAGCAGGCCCATGCACATGTCGTGTGCATTATGCCTCTCTCCTTTCACACCCTCAGCAGTCACTCAGACCGACCCAGGCCAATTCATTTACCCTGGCCTCATGTCCATGCACTGTAATATGCACACGCTATGACAGCCCCTGATATGCAGAGATTCACACAAGAAAACACACATGCTTATCTCGCTCCCCTCCCCTGCAGGTGTTTAGGCGCTGCCCTGTGCTTCAAATCCCTCATTAAGATGCTTACAGTCTGTGGATCAAAGGTGTAAAAAACCCTGCTCCTACCTCTAACGGTTCAGGCCCCACCCCTGCCTCCCGACTGTCTAATTGAAAACATGTACAGCAGGAAGCACTCAAGGGAGGGGGCTGGTCATGTCAGTGATGAGAGATACAGAAAGCAAGGCAGGAATGTGGAAAAGGTAGGAGGTAAATGAGGGAAGACGGAGGCTGATGCATGCGCACAGGCTGAGGGCTAATGAAAGAAAGGGTGAGTTGGTTTGGAATCTCAGCAGTGCCTCCCCTGCTCCACTTAGCTGTAAATGTAATTAAGAGGCTGCTCATCAGAGGTCCTTCGGCTGAGTACCGCTCCACAGCCTCACAGTAGTCTTTTCACTCACTGCACAAGACTCGTGATGGGTGTTTCTCCATTAGAGTAGTTATGTTCTGCTTTGCTAACACAACATTTGAACTCTTGTCACGATACAATTTTTTGAATGTTTTTTTATTTTTATCCTACCAATTCTGTCTAAAAGCGCTTGTATCTCAATCTTTGACTTTTCAAGAATAGAAAAAGAATAGAATAGAAAAAGGACTGAACAGACATTTAGTTCATACATAGAGTACATATAAAGTGTATATGTATACAGTAAATTTGTCTCTTACTGGTTTTGTAAAGTTACTACAAATACAATCCAAACTGTTGTAGCTTTATCTACATTTAGAGAACACAAGCACATGCTGCTCCTCCAGCTCTGAATGACAGGGTCCAACTACTGTACTGGGGTGAAGACAATGACCAAAGCTGGATTTTACCAAAGAAACTTACAACCCTCATGTGATGCTAACATTGTATTTTAATGCAAATAATGTGGCCATCATGCCCATCGTTATTGTTATGAATTATACAGTACATCTGCATTAACATTTTGGATCTGAAAAGGCCAATATTGATTTGTACTTTGTGTCTCACAAGATACAATGTTATGTCCAAATCTAAATAAAATAAATATAGCTGAATGTAAACTCTTTCTCAATATACAAGCAGCCCTAGTCAAAGAATAAATCTTACTTTGTTGCTTTTGAACTTGTCTAATTTGTTAATACCAAAAGTGCTTAAAAGCCATCAATTACAGCTAGGTTGTTAAACTACTTGCTCTCAAAACACACTGTTACATCTATTACCACAACAAAGCAATTAGCATTGCTCAGCCTGTGAAAAAAATATGTTTAATATTATAGAAAGTGATCTCACCCACCAACTATACCTACACATTTTTACAAAAGTCCTGGAAAGTCTCTTGAGGCCAAATATGTTAGAATATTCCCTAGTTTTGTGTGTGAGTGTTCTGAAGGATCCCACCTGCCATAGACTAAACTCATGAGGGAATTCCCTGTCCAGGTGGGCAACCACTCGCACACACCAACCAAAAGACACCTCACACAGGTGCATCTAGTCTGCTCAGGGCACATGCAAACACAAGTGCATAGTATTAAGATGCATTCATACATATGAATTACACAAACAGTGCACACACACACACACACACACGCACACACACATACGTCCACAGCTGAAGCATTGTCCCAGATGGTGTTTCTGTGTGTGAGTAGCCTTGGGATCCACCAGGATGCAGGAGACATCTGCTCCACAGGGGCTGCAGAAGGGGTGGGGGGAGGTGAGTGGAGGCAAGTGAAAGACCCATGATTTCATATTAGTTCCAAATGATTGTGAAATTTCCTGAGACACGGGGGACTTGTGGTGTTGGGGGACACGCTTAGTGCTTTGAGTTAAATGTTACAGGCCCATAGAGGTTTATGGCTGCGCTTCCATGTCTGGTTTCAATCAGTTCAGCCAAGAGGATTCCCTGACTTCTCCTCACTAGTTCAGACCTCTCTTCGCTCTGTCTTTCTTTCGTTGTGTGTGTGAACCTCTGCTTCAGAGGCGCATCTGGTGGTAGGCCTGTTAGTGCAAAGAGACAGAAGGGTCATCAAGGGAGTGCTTGATTGGTTGCCAGTGAAAGACGGAGGCTTGCCAGAAGAGGAAGCAGTGCAGTTGTGACACACACACACACACACACACACACACACACTCGCATGCTCAGTAACTCCATCAGATATTGTCTTACACATTCCCTTAGTGAGAGTTACAGCATGCTCTCACTAACAGATGTCAAAATGTGATGTTTCCTGACTGGAGTCGTTCAGCTCATTGGATCATATCAGAAGTATGTAAGAAATGGGACAAAATAGTAATGCTTGTTGTATTTATTTACATTCATAAATTAAGTGTAAGATTGTGCATAAAAAATAGTTGAACACATTTTACAATATTTACATTTAAAAAGTGAAAACATAATACCAAGAAGACCAAGAGGAGGTTCTGAAAAGCTGATGATCTGCAGCTGCAAATCATCCAACCTACTTACAGTACAAAGATTTGCACATTTTTGCAAGTAAACTAAGCATTTTTTAATTATTATTATTATTATAATGAATAAAAATTAAAAGCAAGTTTTGAGTAAGCCCGAGTGTCAGTAGAAAACATTTCACTTTCTGTTGGGAGAAAATGACCTTTGTAGATTCGCGTTGCTGGCAAATTGAAATATTTATAGCAATAAAGCCACGCACAATATTTATGCATATTTTGACAAATGATAATTATGTAAATTGGCAGCTAATCCCTGTCCTGACCCTGTGTGAGCATTTCCCTCCAGCCATATCCTCATTCTAAGTCACTGCACACCAATCGCACTCCCTGTTTACGCCTGGTGTGACGATGTCAGTGATCAGTGCTAACTCTTGGTGTCACAAGTGGGTTCGAGGTTGTCTTCATGCTTGGAATCTGTCTGACAGTACAATACGCCCCCAGACTTTCGCTACAGTTGGGGGAAAATGGAATATATGTCTGCTAAAGACATAAATGGTTCACACATATTCACTCCCACCTGCTAGAGACTTAACTCTTTCACACAGAGAAGGAAGCTTTTGCACGCCCACACACTCCCATAGACTTTCACACATCTCCAGCTGGAGAAATGAGTACCAATCGTATTTAATGCCTTGTTTGATGTGGAGGGGGGCAGAAATAGACTACAAAACAACAGTCTAAAAAAGTTTCCAAGGAACGCATGATCAAATTACTCACTTATAGGAAGATTAAAGACAAACTCAGTGGTGTAAAGGGTCATTTGTTTTTTATTAGTGCAATTTCATGTTTGGTTTTCTGATTAAAATGTGCGGCTGTGCTTTGAGTGTGCTCTGACATCAAGCGTGTGTGAGAGTGAGAGATAATAACCATATTTAACATTATGACATCCCAATTTCATACAAGTCGTCAACGCAATGCTTTGCAAAACAAGACGTTGCTGCATTTTTCACAGGTTCTGCTTTGCTCCCTCGCCTGCTCGCATATTTTCATGTCTCCCACGTTGTTCTCGCCTCTCTCGTTCCCTCTCCCTCTGTCTCCTCTCTCTGTCCGTCTGCTTGTCTTTCGCACTCAGCAGCTGCGTGTCCATACTGTGCAAAGTGTGCTATTTGTGAATGAAGCCTTCTTCTTGTGCAGCCAGCCCGACAGCCTTTTGCTGAAACCAGACCACAAGTAGCTGCCTGTGGCTGCGTGGTGGCCGCGCTTGTACACAGACGGCCCAGAGTTGGCACCTGAAAGAGAGAGAGAAGCTGAGATGAGTTTCAAAACATACTGTGGCACATAGAGGTGTAATGTAGTCAGGCCAGCATTCAAGTTTATTTACAGAGTCGTGGTATTGTTTCATTTTAGAGCCGCAGTGAACTAAAGCCCAGTCGATTGATTAGAAAGTAGGCGTGACAAAAGCTCTTAAAACTATTATTGTGTACCTAATGATACAGACCTAAACTTTACTTACAAGACTTTGGCATCACACAATAATATTAGGGCTGTAATCAACCAAAGAATTGCTTACATTACTGAAGACATGCCCAAAATCTCTGAAAACTATTACCTGTCTTTATTTTCATGCCAAAACCTCCCATTTAGGCACACAAGTTTGATTTGGCTTGAATATCTAAGTAAATCCTTCATCCAATTTTCTCCTTAATCTGCCATTTTTTTTTTACCATAGAAATCTATGTTATTTAAGTAAAATCACTTACTAAACAACTAAACCCTGATAGCTTTAAATAAGAGCTATTAATAGATTTATCAGGCTGTTTATGAAGTAAATGCCAAAGTCTTCACGGGTCTGTTGCTTTTGATTCCAGTGAATTCGACAAATAAAATGTTTGGTCGACATCAACAATAAAGACGCCAGGCCTATATTTAATCTATAAATAGTTTGACAAACAACCATTACCAAAGTACTGCCACCAACCTCTCAACAAGATCAAAATCATATTGGTTCAAGTCCCCTTGCGCAAATTTATATAAAAAAAACAAAAAAAACAAATTGTTAATTAAAACCACCTCTCTCTTTTCCTCCCTCTCCCTCCACTTTTTTGTTGATCCCATTTTTTCCGCCAGGATTGTCCTCGCCCGGTTCACTTAAGAAGCCGGGGAAGTTTGATTTCAACGCCCTGACTTCCCAGACGAGGTCCCCCCGCATGGCATTCACACACCACCCGCTGCCTGTGTTGGCAGGAGTGAGACCAGGTGAGACGGATGCACGGCGACCCCAAGCCTCTATGGAGAGACCTTGAAAAAGAGAGAGAAGAAAAGGGAGTGTCAGACATGATCTCAATTTGTTCAACAAATACGACCAACCATTGCTTTAAATTGCATTTCAACCAAGTGACCTGGTGGTTTTGGAATCGTACTGAGGAAACACGAAGAGCTTCATCTGTTCAGTATCATCATGGCTTGGCAAAATTTTCTCTCTCTCTCTTTCAGCTTTTTCCATCCATCTTTGTGCCTGTTTATGTTAATAATGTCATTGCATGATATCATTGCTGCATCATGTCTTTGTGACTGATAAAATGTCATGCTTTTTTGTATTGTCTTGAAAACACACCTTGAACATCAGTTGGTATGAGACTGTACTGCTGTATTAAAAACATTATCTATACACATTGTGGTCACACGAAGCACAGCTCCTAATATATATTTTCTTATACGGTCATTCATATACTTAGTCGCCTGATGGGATTCTCATCACTGTGTCACAATCTGTAGTTGGGGTATTCCCAGAATCTCAGACGTCTTAAGTTTGCCAATGTGTCCCTCTGGGCTGATCTCACTTTTCAAAGCCATGAAGTACCCTCTCTTTGCCTGTCTGCCTCTAATTCCATTCGTCTCTCAACGGGCTAATTTGGTCCGAAGCCAACGCTTACATAAAGGTCATTCAGACTCATTGCCCTCTGCATCCAAATTTATTGAATTCAACTTCCCAACATAATATCCAGGCCAGATTTGTGCCTCATCTGACCACTTTGTTGAATTGTTATACAAATTTAAAGCAAGCAATCATTTGCTAATCACCAACAAAATTCTGGAAACTCTATGTACTGGTAATGAAACCAGAATAGATTATTTTGTGTTAGAGTGCGCATGTGTAGTGTCTGGCACAGAGCTTTCTTAGCTAACATGGCTGCCATCCATGAAGAATGTCCCTTGGAGGGCTGTTTTATATACAGAGACTGGGTAGGATGGAGAAATCAGGGAGGGAAAAGAACGTTGGAGGTAGACATGAGATGTGAGGTAAATGAAACTGTGGCTGTTTGCCTGCTCCAGCCTTTTGAGTTTAGCGTTTCAATGTCGGCTGTGGAGTGTTTTATGGTCTGTTGTTGGCTGTGGATCCGTGTGGAGAGCTGCCAAAATGATTGTCTGATTCTTCTTGTCTGAAGAGTGCACCATTGTGGCAACATTTGTACACACATACAAATGATATAAGAGTTTGGCTGCAAAAGACAAGCACATTCACACAGATTTAGAACAAAACACTCAAGAATCATTACGTCCATATTGTCTCAATGACATGAATTGCAAAAAAGTGAAAAGTCTGACCACCTTGCATGTATAGCGTATTAGTGACAGACAAACTCGCAGATGCTTGTTTGCTCGGCTCTCCTCACCTAGCAGCTTAGCTTTTTGTTTAGTGCCAAATGATCCAGACCGCAGAGATATGCCAGAGTCGTTTACTGTCACCGAGAGGCGGTCTGTGGTCTGCTGGGAGTGAACTGCAGCTTTCGGCCGCAGACTGAAGTTTCTGTGTTGTGTGTTGTGTGAGCCATAACAGAGTTTGTATTCATTTGTAAAGCTGGACTACCTAACTGTTTTTGTTTTATAAATACATGTTGTTTGCCCCAACAAACAAATCAGACCACAATGCGCTGTCCCTATCTTTGTAGAAACCTTTTTTTCATACTGACTGGTGATTGGCTGAGCTTTTTGAAAAAGCTGATCTGAATGGATCTAAATGGATTTTTATCACATAGTTATTTTTTGTGGTTTCAAAGTTAGGTACTCCAGCTTAAGCACAGTAATGTGAGGCTGCACGGTTTTGGCAAAATATCAAAGGGCATTTTATGACAACAATTCAATTGCGTCTTAGCTGAAAATCTTCAAACTTTGTCTGTTGAATTTTATAAAGAAAAACAATACATTTATTCATTAGCTGATCAAAACATCATATAGATAGAGGTCAAGACTCCCTTCATATTAATGGAACATTTATATTAATAATATTTTCATTGACTTTGAGAAGATTTTCCAATGGAACATGAAATCAAATTCAATAGAAAAACAAGCTATATTCTGTAATGCAACTGTGTTTAAAGATATGTATTCCTTTTGTAAATCTTCCATTCCAAATGACTTAATGTGGTCACCAAAATGGTGATTTCAATTCAGTTGTGATTAATCTTGCCCTCCTGTAATGTTTGGCACATTCCCAACATTATTTTATCTCTTCTAAAAACATACATGTTTTATGTATTTTTATTGTGTGTGTATAATACCAATAATGGACTGCACTCGACTTACTCTTTCTTTTTCTTGCCCGGTCCAATCAGGAAGTCCTCGTGCCTCAGCCTCCGCTCTGCACTTCCCCTCCTCCTCCATCATCCAGCAGTCCAGCCCATACTTCACCCACCCCACCATCCGCTACCACCACCACCAGGACCCACTTAAGGAGTTTGTGCAGTTTGTGTGCACCGACAGCCCAGGACAGCCTGGTGCTCAGGTAAGCTCCAAAAATTCAAATACACCTCCAGGAAAATCTACTGGAATGCAAATGCTTTATGTATTTGTCACTTGCGGATGTATTTGTGTTGGAAGCACAGAAAATACTTCTTGAGGTTGTGATATAAGTAAGTTTATGAAAAAGCTGCTAGGAAATTGTGCTTTGCATTGAATATGATGGACACATTCACTTAGTTGACAGCTGCAAGACCACTGTAAACCTATACTGAAAACAAATCCATCCTCTTCTTTGTTTCCATACCCACAAGTTGTTTTAGCACACTGCACAACAAAATCCCATCATCTTTCCCATCGCCCATGTCTTGAAATACAACAGACTGTTCTATAATATTTTTGTGTGGCTTCTACTTCTGTATGTTTCGAACATATGGAGATACTGTATTTAACGGCTCTTGCATGTGACTTTATGTTGGTTCCTCTCTGTACATAATCCTGGGGTGCCATGCTCACCCTGTCTGTATGATCCATCTGCAGCCGAATGGAGGTGGCCAGAGCAAAATGCCGGGCTCCTTCCTGCTGCCCCCTCCTCCCCCTGTGGCGCGCCCTGTGCCCCTCCCCATGCCCGACTCTAAAAGTCTCAGCACGCACACTGATGGTGGACTCAGCTCACCCTCATCTCCGTGTAAGTCACCCCTACTCCCATCCACAAACCCCTGTGATTGCCCCATAGACTTTAGGGGTGCTTCTCTCAACCCTGGCTAGCTTTGCAGCTAGTGTTAAAAACAAAATTGTACACACTAGCACTACCCATTTTCAATATGAATTAGGACTCATAGGCTGTACAAAAACAAAGATTTAGTCAAGCCAGTAACCACGCCTATGCCAAACCAGAGATCCACATGCTCTGTCTATCCTTTCTATCACTCTTTCCTCCTTCATTTCTTTACAAAACATCAGCTTCACTTAAATTTGTCTATTTTTCATTTTGTCACTTTCTCTGGTCTTGGACTTAATAGCGTCTTTGCATAACCACAGGAGCACGGCAGGGCTTGAGCATGTTGCCTCTTTAGCTGCAAATCTTTCTTAAACTTAGACTTCCCTATTTTCAATATATCCCCATTTTCAAACCTAGTTGGTGTATGTAGTCTTAACTCCTTTGTGTTTCTTGCCTATATTTCTGTTTAGCTTAGACTTTTTTCTTCTTTTCAAAGGAACAAAATTAGAGCAGTTGGCGTGGACTCCAAAAATATTTTTCTCAACATGATCAAATTCCCTTGTCACTACCACTCAAGTCTCATACCAATTAAATATTAACAACGTAGAAACAATTATATGTGCAATTAAAATGTTGTCATAGATTAAAGAAGGCAGATCAAAATATGAAAGCATGTTCTGCAGGTGTGAGAGACAGGGTGTTGTGGGGAGTGGGGGGGCTGTGTCTCCACCAGACCGGTGCAGTGCAAGAGTCGGGTCATGGGAGTGACCACCGCCATGGGGCTTTGGACGGAGCCGCCGGGTCACCTTCTCCTTTTTTGGTTTTGACGTTTTTTCTGCTCTTGCTGTTCTGTCAAGATTTCTACCTTTTATACATTTATTAAATGACATGTATACATATGCTGCTTACCATCAGTTCTTTGTGGCTGTGGCTGTTACACCACTTTTCTTGGTTTTGCTTTTTCCAAGCTTGCACAGACATGTACATAGATCACTGTATGTATTACTATGACAACTCACATTTGTTAGTTGTTTTCTTTTTTCTTATTGGTTTTGTCATACATTTCATTCACCGAACATTACTGATCTCAGCTGCCATTTTGGAGTCCAGATAGCACAACTGCCCTAAATTTGATCCTGGGGCATTGCTAAATGTTCACTCTGTAAAAGCAACATGTTCCTCTTTGTGGATGATTATGTTTTACTTTCTATACAGAGAATCTCTATTCAGTCATTTATAAAAAGAAAAAGGTATACTCCTATTAACCGGCTCATAATCCTGAGCAAATTATGAATGGGGCTTCAGTGCCCATGACTTTGACAGATTTAATCTGATATCGAGCCAAGTCCAAACAGAATACCAGGATCAGCTCAGAGCTCCGTGTGTATCTGTGTGTAAAAGCATGTACACACTTCTCTCTTTGTTTATAGCATACTCCACGCCAGGCTCCACAACTCCCAACCGGTTTGTCGGCATCGGAACACGGGACAACTTTCTGAATATACCCCAGCAGACTCAGGTACCCCGCCAACATGAACATTTAATTAACACCCACCATCCATCTTACCCGCCTGCCATTTTTTTGTCTTTTATTCCCAATTTTTCATCTTCCACTGCACAACACATACATACATACACACAACCTGCCTTAAGGGATAAACTTGTGATGATACAATGGCAACACTACAGCTTTTAACATTTTCCTCAATGAGAATTAATCTGAATAATCTAATATCTGAAATCCAATCTAAAATAAACTGTGATAAACTTTCACCAAATGATGTAATATTAATTTGTTAGAGGCGTTTTGGTGTTGCCTGTGTATTGTGCCTGTTAAATTCAGTATTGGTTTACAGTGTGTGTTCTACAGCAGTCGCCTAAAATGATGTGTTCCCAGTTTGTTTTAGCTTCAGGACCGGTGATTTATCTGAGGGAACCAAATGTATCTGTGCTCCCATTGAAGTCAGCGGTTCGCTACATTGTGGTTACAGCTTTGACTGAGCTTTACCACTGGATTGCAATATCTTGGCCCTTCGGCCTTCTCCATCACCAACACAACTTTTCTCATTAGGGGCTAACCACACCTGCCTGAAGCCAACTTAGCTCTTGTGTCGTCCCAACACATGGAAGCAATCAGCATTCCTCCTCGATTTAGCCCCCCTCCGCAGTCCCTCTAGGGGATTAGTCCCAGTGCTCCATCATGTCCTTTTGGGCTCCCACCTGCACCTCTCGCCACAGATGTAGCTGGCACGAAACACATCCAGGCGCACACACATACTGTCGAACATTTACGACTACTCATGGTAAAATTATGCCGAATTAACTGGTGCGTTTTTATCGCTTTCTGTATAAGTTAGTCTGGTTGGTCAGTTACAGCCACGGTGAGTATTTGAGGTCTCGGCTCATCCTGCTGTTGTCTGGCATATGGAGAGTGCAGACGAATGCCCAGTCTGCCTCACAGCTGGCTCTCAACTAAAGGCAGAAAGAGAAATAAGCATGCAAAAGCTGGAATCAGGAGCTCTCTGCTGGTGAGCTGTGGTAAATGCAAGCAAACCAAGGGAGACAGTTGTTCTCTTTCAAAAAAAAACAAGGAGCAATAGACGTAAAGAGAGAAAAAAGAGGGAATTGGTCTAAGCTTGCAGTCAAGTCCAGGCTGTCTGGTTGCCTACAGCAACCAGACATGATGTCAGAGGCAGTTGAACTTGGACTTGAAGCAAGTTGAGTGTCTATGTGTGAGTGGGGGGTCACTTTCCATGGCCAAGGATTACACAGAAAGAGTCAAAAGTAAAACAGGAGAGAGACAAGAGAGTGCCAGGTCGAGAAAAGTCAAAACAGAGAGAGGAGTTGTTATCTGATGAAGGAATTACGAGTATGAAGGAGGTTCTACTTGAATGTTGTACTGTTAAAAGTGGTGATATGTTGTATTCTCGCAGCCGTGGCCTGTGGAATGTCGGCACGCAGCAGCCAAAAACCTCTGGGCCCATGCCAACGACTCCTCTCGGCCTCTTATCACTGAGAAACGAGATCCCGGGAGTAGTCTCTCTCAATAGCGCAACAGTGTGTAGCCTGAGACCACTCTGACTGACACAGCTTAGACATATTAGAACGATCCGCTTACATACAAACTGGAAGAGCATGACAGCGGAGTTATGGTTTGGTAAATAGAAAATGGCTTTAATGCTGAACAAACAGCTGCTTTCAATGTGTTCTAAAGACGGTGATATATAAGTAGTGAACCTGAGTGAACCTAAAACATGTTCTTTGTGTCCATCTAGTGGAGGATATATATATTACATGTATGTTTGAAATTCTTAAATACTTCTCTTTTTCTTCCGCAGTCCTGGTTCCTCTGACAAGGCATCACTGACAACACAACGTATATAGAAAATATTTCAAGAAAATTGGGATAGCAAAAACCACAACTAAAAACAGACTGTAATAAACCATGATAAAAAGTATTTCTCACTTACCGCTGAAAATACTTGCACAATCTGAAAAAGCCACCACGCTCAAGAGGATGCCCATATTTGCACGATCTGAAAAGAGCTCTCATCCCCTACATGTCGGAAGTCGGAGTGTACAGGTTCGTTTCACACGGACAAAGAAGATGAGGAAGAAGAAGATGAGGAACTGTCGCTCAAACACTAAGTATCAAATCCAAGTTAGGCAAATTAACTAAGACCAATATGCATTTTTGTTTATCATTTGTACTTTAATGTTGTATCTATAATGAAACCCCATGCATTGGTTGAGAGATCAAAGTATTTAAAATTGAAAGGTAGAATATGCAAAATTTGGAAATGTTAGGAATTGATTTTATTGTTAGTACGAATACATTTTCTGATAATCCCTCGCTATCTCATGCACACATCCGCACGGCCACAGACGGCTCCAGGTTCTGCCTTTTGCCTTTCAGTTCACATTTGGCCTATTACAGTGATGCCATAAAATGGTGTGACTTATATGCACTAAGGGACAAATCGTTGTTTACCTGTCAAAAGTACACGGGTGTTTATGTTAGAGGCCAATCTGGGAGATAGAACACACACACTCTACACATTTCTCTACAACACTAACTCTACACATGCCTTTTCGTCCCCTCACTATGCACTATTATTTTGATTAAGGGATGAAATTATTGCACATTTAGGTCAAAGGTGTGAGAAAGGAGGAGGTTGGAGTTTGGCTGTGGCTGTGCGGATCACTGGGATTGTCCTTCTAAGATCCACACTCTTATAAACATGACATAAAGCTCAAAACGGCTTTTTTATAGTATTATTTCCAATTCATATCTAATTCATTATTTTTCTGCATGATCTTGTCAAATGCAGATAATAAATGTGTACGCTCAGAACACAGAAATGCACAAATATCGGCGAAACAAACAAAGGAAAGCCTTTTTTACTTGGTTCTCAAAACTTGCCTTTGCTCATGGGATTTCATTTTACCAGGAATTGCGTTTGTTACATGTAAATGAAATGTTCACTTTTAAATGCATATTATTTGTTTACTATCAACAAAACAAATGTCATCCTCATCCAATAACTGGACTCTCTGCTGTTGGTGTATTTTATGAACTCAAAAGTAACATGCGTTTTAAAATGTCACAGGCGTATTGGCGATTGATAATGTTAGGTCAGCAATTCAGTTCATTTCTGACATCCACTTTTCCCAACAACAAAAGGACAAAACTGTTACCAACATGATCAAAAATCACTGCCATTTCCTTCTGTAGTGCAGCATCCTAATCCTTCGACAAATTTGTCTGAATTCCCATGTAGGTTTGAAGAAAAATGTCTTTTTGATGGAAAGTATTATTATTGAACATGTGTTGATTGAGCCACGTGCAATGCATTGGGTAGATCATTGTGTTTGTCTCTTAGAGGTTTTTAAGAAAGCTTAATGAAAAGAGAAAAAAAATGTATTTGTTTCAAGTCTCTAAGCTCCAGGACTCTAAACTAGAGGGCCATGAAAAAAATCTTTGTAACTTTGGGTATTTGTTTTTATTTCTTTGTCTTTTTAAATGTTTTATGTGTAATCATTTGTTTATAAAAATGTGGGAGGGCTGAAGGACACAAATCTACACAACTTCTACAGAGAATTGTATTTTATCAGATAAACCTGGTGCTTCAACACAATTAAGTACTTTGAGAACTATTGTAAATGAAAGGTAATGAACAAAACAGACAATTTAGGAAACAGCATTGCTCCTCTCTATGTGTACTCTTCTTTTGTATGAGTGGGGGAGAGGCTCAAAATAATTGAGCTTAGTCCTTTTATATCCACCATTTCACTGCCTGAAATTGACCGGCAGTTCAAGACTTCCGACATGTTTCTGGCACTTCGCTGATAAAGGTGGTGTATAGTTTTCGGGACATAACAGAATGTGAAGAGAGATGCATGTTGTGATTTGAAAAAGCTAAAAATCTGACCATTCGATGAAACAGCCTGCAAGTGAGCCTCTCCCCTAGTCCCCTCCCTCTCTGTAAATGACTCTTAGTGTTTGTGCTGTAGAGTAGATTCCCAGCAGTAAAAGGTTGTCCCTTAAAAGTGCCTTTTGTTCACAGACTCCATTTTGTAATCCAGATCACCCCTCTAAAATGGCTCGAGGTAGGAGCTTGAATTGAAAAATCTGCACCATTAGAATAACGGAGGGCGATTTCCCATAAGCCTTGTAAAAACACTTTCCATTTTACCCCATTAGCCTCCCTTCCTTTTCAAAGCTGTATATATATACACGGTATATTTATATATATATATAGTACAAAAGGAAATGGTGTGAATTAGTTCTTTACTTTTTATTGATAAATGATGGGAAACATTTTTTAAGTTAAAAAAAAAAGTTCTTGTTCAGCTCCCGTTCTTGCCCCTGTCTCCATTGTCTGTTTTCTGTAGACACTGGAGTAGTCTGTAACTGTGTCTGTTGCTCGGCATCTTTCTCGCACATGAACACACTATTCATCACTGCCCATCTATCCACCCTCTCTGCTGTTGAAGAGGGTATTAAAATATTGCAGACAAACCTTTGTCTGAGCAGAATGCAGTTAGCTCACATATTCTCGTCTATGCTTCATATTGTATTACCTTACCATCTCTTCAGCTTCTCCATTCAACAGCTAATGTAAGTGAACAAATTATGCTGATGGGCTTTTGGGGGTGCCTCATGGTGGGGAGAGCTATAGGCAGGGATTCAGGGGGTCTGTGGTGTGTGTGCTGAATAAACTGGGAGGCTGCTTGGACTAGTTTATATAGACAATGCGTTCATAAATGTATTGTATTTATTGTTTTCTTGTTTTTATTCCCCCATTTATTCTGTTTTAATTGAGATTACTTTGCATAGTATCAGGGTATGTTGTCAGTAAGGCTGCCTTTGAGGAAAATCTAAGCTATAGCCTAAGCACCTTATTACCGGAAGCATACAACATGAGGTCAAAAAGAGTCATATCCTACAAATAAATGAGTGATGTCAACAAAAGTATTATTCCAAAAGGTTGGTTTGCAGTATTAGCCATTTACTAAAGATAAAGCTGAGCCTGATCTCTTATGTGAGAAAACAAAGACTCTAACTATTCCTTTCCATTTTGCCTCATGCTGGGTTGCATTCTGTCTTTTTGTTGTTTATTTTTGTTTTATTTTGCTAGTATTTGGCAAATAGTGAAAAGCAGGTCTCGAGGCCCCTGACTCCCACGTCTGCACCTCCTGTCAATGTCCTCAGTGCACTTCTTGTGTGAGAACACCCCCAGAGCTCTAGGTAAAATGCATGTGTTAATTACAGTTTCTTTTCCATAAGAAGAAAAACACAGTTTGAAAAGAGCAGCACCTGGTTGAATAAAAGGATGTTCTTGACTGTACCACAATGTGTCCAGTGTTTTGATTTGACTTTTGTATAAACACAGCTGGGAAGGCAAATGGGTCACCTGCAGCACATCTTGGAAGATTTACAATAGTAGGAAGATTTTGATAAGCTGTAGGGTAATATATAATATATATTATATATATATATATATATATATATATATATATATATATATATATATATATATATATATATATATATATATATATGGTCTTAAACTGTTTGAATGGAATGGAGTTCACAACTGATTATTGACTCAGAAAGGCGATGAGCCTTTTGCATTGCCTCTGGGGGCTCCATGCAGAGCCACTGAAACATACTAGATTTACAACCGAATACTGATTAAAACCACAAGCATTATATATGCATATATGTTTTAGTTTAAACTGACAGGGAAAAACCTAATCCATAAAAATAGAACGGGATCCCTACTTTTCTGATAGAACAGTAAAATGAGTGCGTTCTAGACTTTGAGAACAGCTGGTCTACACCATGGAAAGATTATATAATGTGTATAATATCTGTTCTATTAGATCAAATAGCCAACCACAGAGAGAAAAAATAACTTTTTGTTTTAAGCACAAGTGACTTTTCCTTTTGGGGGAACTGCTGAGCAGCGCTGGAGATGACGACACATCCGGGCTACAAGTAGTAAACAGAGCAGGGTAAAGTGAGCGAGCAGCAGCTTTTATCACCGCAAACTTGTGCCATTGTGTAGGACTACAGGTCTTCTGTCTGCTCGATATAGTCTTTAATTCAGTCTTATCGTCCTAAGTAACGACCGCGGAATGGGCTAACATATTAGCAAAACAACAAGCTTGGCTGTACTTTTGAGCGTGTTTCCAGCCTGGGTTCAGCGTTTGGACTCTATGGTGGCGTCACTTCAATGGGGAACTGTCTTTTCTTTCAAGGGGCAGACGATGTATCTCTGCTGAACGAGTCTGAGGGAGGCAGTCTGCCCGGGGAGCCTCCGCCGCCATACCAGGTGTGTGTGTCAGTCACGGAGCCCACGGACAGAGATGACATGCACACGTTTTATCTGTGGTCCCAAAACACAAGATAACAGGCTTATACTTCTTATAAAAACAATGCACATGGATGTTTAGTGTTTCATAATATTATCCAATCAGAAAAAGATGTTTTTGTAATTAACGCCGCAAGCGGCGATGAAAGCCCTCGCCACTCTTGCAGTCTTGCAGTGTACCTGCCTATGAATTCACTGCCTGATCGGACCAGGATTACACACAATGATGCTGATGTGAATCCAACGAATAACAATAGCCCTCTCCAATTGTACGTATTATAGAGGGCTAATAACTTTTCTGATTTAGGTTACTATTTCCTTTGGTTGAATTGGAGCTGGTTTGCTCCAGCGACACCCATGCAGTGGTCTTCAAGCCGGTCCCCAAAGAGCCAGTGTTCTGCAGGTTTTCATTCCATCCAAACAGGATCGCACCTGACTACACTCATTTCATCAAGTCCTCAGGTTAAGACTAGACCCACTTGACTAAATAAGTGGACTTAGAGGACCAGTTTGAGGACCACTGTAGCAGCTGAAGTACATCCAAGTAATCTGAGGAGTGTGTGCTCTACTTTCTTCGTGGGAAAAAAATGCCAACATGTGATTTCATTGAATGTGTAACCTATTATAGCAGTAGAGGCACAAACTTCATACTGTCATGTTGCGATAACGTATAGGACTCTGAGATTGTTTGTGTCTCTAAATGAAACTGCTTAATGTCATAGGAGCATCCACAGCCAGTGTTTCACCCTAACCCGGGTGAGAGTCGTCTGGCGAGCCAGCTGACGGAAGAAGAGCAGATCCGCATTGCTCAGCGCATCGGCCTCATCCACCACCTGCCCAAAGGCGTCTTTGACCCTGGTTCTGACCCGTCTGACAAGAAAGTTAAAGAGTAATGGCAAATATTTATTGTGAATAAAAGTGATGTTAAATGTTTGTATCAAAGCTAACTTTTCTTGTCTTCCTTAGGTGTGTGATCTGTATGATGGATTTTGATTATGGCGACCCTGTCAGATTCTTGCCCTGCCTTCACATCTATCATGTGGACTGCATTGACCCTTGGCTGATGCGCTCCTTCATCTGCCCGTCCTGCATGGAGCCAGTGGATGCTGCTCTCTTGTCCTCTTATGAAGCTAACTAGTGCCTATCTCCTGATCACTACTAAGCACCTTGACTTAGCTGTTTTACTAGGTGAAGAATGTATAAACTACAGCTGAAATTGTGGTTTTCATTTGAACCTTTTTGCCTTTTATGATTGGGCAGCGTTCCATATTATACGTATGAATAATACACTGTAATTATGTTTGTGACGTTTTCCTCTGTATTCTGGTTTCACACACTGCCTTAGATAAGTTTAAAATTGTGATTAACCAGATGTTACAGCAATAATTTTCCTCTGGTGAGCACACTTGTCAACTGTATTTCAACAATGAATTAACTTATCAGACATTAGTAGGGTGATCCTTTTTGCAATTCTATTGGGGTTCATTGTAGTTCCCATATATGCACCTTTTGTTTTTGTGTCGTTAGATTCTGGCTGGCCACTTTACTCTGCTCACTAGATTTACAGGTCATGATATTTGTTTTAAATATATTTTGCAGCGCTAGAGGAGGGACTCTTGTGGTGCTGTGCCTTTTAGATCTTATCAGCCAATTCTTGTGACATAACGACATGAAGAGAAAACAAATTTAAAGAAAATAATTTTAATAAAATATTTACAACATATTGCACGTTATTCAACATATTGCATGTTATTCATAAACCATTCTTACAAAAACCAAACATTACAGTACGGTAAAAACATGGGGGTGAGCATTGGTAGAGCATTGGTCTTTGGACCTAATGTCATCTGCTCCCACTGATGTCTGCTGTTGTTGTGTCCTTGGGCAAGACACTTAACCCCACTCTGCCTGAAGCCCCCAGTGAAACACCAAGGCCGTATCTTCATTGAATGAGCAGTCATCTTCCTGTGGACCCACCAGAGGATCAGCGAGGGACTGGTGTATTGTGAGTTGGGTGGCAGCTCAGATTGCCATGGATAGATAAAGGGATGAAAATGAAATGAAATGGAAAAAATGTGTACGCTTCCTGCTTGCGTATCAAAATTACTGCATATGACAGATGGAGAGCAAACATCTAAAAGACATAGACTCCCAACGTGACAGTGACGAAGGCTACAAAGAATCCCACAAACATTCGCAAAAGTGGGACAATACTGGAGGATTGGCGTGCATCTATTTTTTTGATGGACTTTAGCTCCATGTCTTGGGGGTGACTTAACATGGCCTGTAAGCCATCAAACACCTGCACAACACAATACAAATATGTAAGCATGTACATTACACCTACATTATATTTATAAATCATTGAACGTTTACCTGGATGTTTAACTCAAAAGCTAGTATGGCTTCTTCCAACACACGGCCTCTCTCTTCCTCTGTGAGCTCGATGCTGTTCATGCGACTCCGGTACAGCTGTTTGAACAGGTTGGGGCTAGACACTCCGGGAAAGGCAAAGAAAGAGAGGCCTTCAGATCCTTTAAGCCCCATGGATTTCTGTGCAATTCGACCGAGCACCTGACCCCCCGACAGGTCGCCAAGGTAACGGGTGTATGCATGGGCAACTAATAACTCTGGGTTGTCTGCGCCGATCTGTTAACAAAATAAGAAGTTTTCTTAAACAAATACAGTGGTGTTTCAAAGTGTACACACTCAGACAGTGGGTTCATTGTTATGGTCATATTTTGGAGATTATGAATGATAAAACTTTTTCTCAAGCTCGTGATTCAGCAATAAATGTGCTCTTTTTTTCAAATTATGCTGCTTTTCTTTTTCCATGGAATGTATTACTGTTGGACTTGCTGTATTGTTGTGGTATTTTGATGCATTACCATGAAAAAATTGAGCAAAATAAAATAAAAAGGAAATCGCTCTGGGGCGATCTCCAATTTCACTGGAACTGGATACTTTATTTCCCAAGAAAAATTAGCAGCTTTACCATCAGAGAGGATGCTAGAGCTTTAACCACGACTACCACCAAAGGCTCCAAGCTGTCATAGGGGAAGTAAAAATAAACGCTAGAGGTTAGAGTGAACTATAGGGGATGTAAAACTTATCAGAGGCAAAAGACAAGTTTGTCGACATCATAAATGATCATAAAAAACATGTTTATTTGACACTAAATGGCTTCACATCCACTACCAACGAGTGAAAACAAGTTTTTTTTAATTGTTCATAAGAAAATACCCCATGATAGGGTTTGGTACATTATGTACTGCAAAATATCAAATTTGTATTGATATAGTATGTTGATTAAATGCATTGTACTCTGTTGAATTGTGTAAGGGGGTTGGGAACAAATAACCATCTGCTTCATCCAACCCCTTTTCAAACCTGTATAAGTGTAAATTTAACCAACCAAAATATTCACAATAACGACAACAAAATACAGAAAGTAGATTTACCTGTCTTAGTCTGTGGCTATATCTTTTTGTAGCTTCTGGAATCTCAATCTTTTGTCTCCACTCGGGTCCATAGAAGTAGGCCAGGTCCTTCTCGATAGCCTCAAGTCGGGCCAGTTCAGAGGGGAAGTAGATTGGTGCGACACTGGGGTGATCACTGTTTTTATCCATTTCTTGCTCTAATGCTGTGTAGATTTCATGCAGCGAGCACAGAAGAAGCTACAAAAACAAAGCAGGTTTAGCACGGTAAAAAATATTGTTGGTAATTTTGCTATAATTAGATGATCTCTCTTCTACACAACCACAGATGCACCTTATAATTAAAGTACTATAAAGTCTTGTTCAACAGCAATCACTGCTGATGAGAGATGTTCAAATCCAGAATGAATAAATACCTTATACTGTGGTAAGGAGACCCGTCCTCTTTGGAAGCTCAGCATCAGCTCAGTGTTTTCTGCTCGTGTGTGACTGTCCTTGGTTGCTGTTTTGATTAGCTCCGATAAATCCCTGATGGAGGAGAAACAACCGTATGATCAAATGGTCAAATTGCATGATGATGATGTGAACATGGATTTTATTTTAAACAATTGAAGCTGACCTCTCTGGTAATAGTTCAGGAGATGAGAGTAACTTCTTATCCGTCTCCATTGTTTCCTATAACATTTATGATACAAACATGTTATGATGTAAAATAAAGCATATAAACGCAACAAATAGTTCAACAAAAAAGACATTCTCACCAGTTCCAAGTAGTTTTGCTGTTCCCTCACAAGTGTGCACAGTTCCCCTGTCTCTCAGTGTCTCGCACAAAAAGTGCTTTGTGTCCACGCTCTAGCCTTTCCTTTTTATGGTCCTCTCCAGTCTCCTCCCCCGACTAAAGAAAAAACAGGAAATCACAGCTTCAGGCCTCCGCTTAACGTGATTCAGCATCCTGGACCTAAACATGAGGCAGCAGCTTGTGATCAAGTGGGACGGGCCTCAGAGTTACCATGAGTAAGGAATTTTAGTTTGGAAAACTAGAGGGAGGAACAGCCAGTTCCTAAACCTGATTCAGCAGAGGATTAAGCAACACAGGACTCTGCTCTCTCATTCTTAGAATGTCTCCTTTTGAACTATGACTAATCAAAGACAACATATCATGGGACATGGTTAGAGAAGGTTTATATCTGTTGTTTTGAATTTCTAGTTATAAAGCACACAAAAAACATAGGGATTCAAGGGCACATTGTCTGGTTTAAACAATGGACCCAGGGAGACAAGCTAATTACAAAACCTTCAGCCAATGGAGCCCAGAACAAAAACTAATTGAATTGTTTTTGCAAATGGTGAGGGTTTAGGACCCATATTTCACCCACCAGAGATATATCTGATATGGATAACTCCATGGAATGGTAAATGCATGGAATTATTTAATTATTTGATTTATGTTTTTCAATGGCTGCATTCTCGCAGATGACATACTTGGACTAGTGTTACACAACACATAATATGAGCATACATCATAGCAGCCTTTAGTTGAGCTAAACTGTGAGAGGATAGGGCGTACTCCGAGACTAAACTATAAAATGCAAGACCTGGAGCAGCTGAGGTCTGCGCAACAGCAGGTCCAACAGCAGGTGCCCCGCGTCAATCATTAACCACCCTGAAAAACTGCTCACTTTGTAACCCACAACACGCTTTTAGTGTATTTCTTGTGGTGTAAAATGGACGAAGAATTATTCACAAAGCACTGTAAAAGAATGAACAAACCAGACAGTATGGAGTCAGTGGACGAGTCTGACGAGGTGAGCCTCTGCCATCATGGTTCATGGTTCACTTGACCAGAGCGTTTGGGGATGATGTGTTTATGAAAGAGTACGTGCTGTGTCCATCAGACTGATGTGTCCATGAGGATGCAGACTGGATCCCCCCTCGGTCCCCTCGTGTCTTGGATGGACAGTCCTGGTTCAGCTGCAGAAGTCCGGCCTCCGTGTGAGCAGTGCGTGTGCAGACTCAGAGCCGTGGCCCCTGCGCAGGTTACGCTGAGGTCTGCAGCGCACCTCCACCTGCTCGGAGAAGCACTCTTACTTATTGGACATTATCTTCAAGAAACGGATGTAAGTGTTTCTTTATGCAACACAACTGAAAGTGGACAGTCTCGTGCATTTTCAGATGTTTCTATTATATTGTTTATTCTATTAACTTAAAAGTATATTGGATTTTCTACTTCCGGGTGGATCATCAATACTATTGGTCTGTTAATCATTATTGTGATATGTGCTCGTCAAATAAGACCACAGAGCGTTTTGTTCACAAAATGGAGAGGGCGGTTCTTTCCTAAAATGTGGGAAAATCCTCCTATATACCTTTTTTAACGTATAAACTGCATTTAATGGCCACAATTATTTGCAATGATTGTTTTTCACTTTTCCAGCTGTCAGATAGATGAGCTTAATCTTTTACAAACGGCACACAGACAGTGCTGCATCCAACTCTGTGGACGTAGATGCAGTAAAGTCTGTAACTTCAGAAAACTTCAGTGGTCTGCACGTGGGAGCGCGCACGGATTTTGACGCCTTTTCTCCTGTTGAGCCTGCATGCTTGAACTGTCAATTGTTTGATGCTTTGTACGAAAAAAATAGTTTAAATAAATAACCAGAGGGCTGTGAAATTATAAGGACGTCTGGGGATCCGCCTAGAAAATTATAGAAGTTAGAATAGAATGCAACTAACTGACTAACTGAGCCACTGGAGGGCAACAGTGGGTCAGTTTGTAGAGCATTGGCCTTTGAGCCTGAAGGTCGTGGGTTGGAGCCCACCGACTCCCTCTGATGTCTACTGACGTTGTGTCTTTGGGCAAGACATTCAACCTCACTTGCCTGAAGCCCCAGCTGAAAGATCAAGGCAGCTCAGACTAGAGCAGCCATCCTCCTGTCTCACCTCCTGCAGGAGGATCAGTGAGGGGCTGGTGCTCTTTGAATTGGTGCAGCTCTGACTGCCACCCCCCTGACCCAGAAGTGGATTAAGGGGAAGAGGATGGATGAATGGCTGCACAATAAAATGCACTAAAATAATAGTCACAAAGGCCTTCTGTTATAATTTCTGATCCTTTTTCCAAACATTTCTTGAATCCAGAACACTTTCTATACTGCGACCTGCTTCCAAACATTGACCTTACAGCTTCATATCTTTCATTTATTGGTTTTAGTTCTGCTCTCTCTCTAATACAGAGCTCCACCTTTTTGTCTCACATAACATTTAAATATTGTTTTAACAATAACTGTTAAGATTTTTCACATCGAAAGTAAATATTACGTCATAAATAAACTGGCATTCAACAAGACACTGCTGCAGCCTCTTTTCACTCCATTGGAAAAGATTGGTGTCAATAAATATTCTGAGGTCTTGTGGTCGCTGTTAACCACTCAGACATGTTTGTAGGGGCACGCGCTGGATTCTTGGTGGAAATATACTGTAACTTCAGATGAACTTATGGATATGCATATTTGTGAAGTTGTTTTGTCTGTGTCCGATCCATCGACTGTGAAGTTGCGGCCCTGAGCTCAGCAGACTGGTCCATAAGAGGGCCCAATACCGGAAAGTCTCCCCTTATCTGTGTTTGTTGTTAGTTTGTTGATAACTTGTGTGTGCAGAAGCTGGTGTGCGTATCGACCAGTGTATCTCTGCTGCTGGACTCTTTGCTGTGCAGCTTGGCTCCTCTCATGTCCCTCAGCTCACAGATCCCAGAACTGCAGAGCTGTGTAGAGCACTCAGTGGTAAGACACTTCTCAAACATGTGCACTCTGTCAAACCCTCATATCATCATGTTTTAAAGGCTCCCACTCTGGAAAATGTGTCCTACTTGATGCCAGGGCTGTGAGTAAAGAGGATGATATTTTTGTTCAGACTGCCACAATTAAAATAAAAAACTGAAGTTTATATGCTTACTTTATTGATCTTACTAAATACCTTACATTTCTCATTTTGAATGAAAATAGATTTTCAAATGTAATTATGGAAAAAAAAGTGTCAATACAATATTTCACAGAATAAGACATTTTATTAATTTACCATCGTTTTCAAAGTAGAATAGATATCAAAGTAATGATATATTTTGTAGTTATGGTGAGTTTAATCTCACACAGTTCAATTTGCCTTGTCCCTATACTTTTCGTCTCCTTCCTGCCTGTGGCCCTGTAGTTATAGTAGCCTCCAGCAGGGGGCCATGTGGGGCTTAGTAGTCAGTAGTAGATTTGTTCTACTGGAACAAAATCTAATGCCTCCTCTGAAGGACTATAGATGCCCCGCCCCCCCCCCTTTTGTTTGGAGGGAGCTTTCCCAGCTCCCCCACTTGCAGCTGCATGTGAAGGTGATGTGAGGGACCCTCCTGACCCATATCTGTGATCTGAAGCTGCCGCTGGTGCAGGTTTGTCAGATCATGAACTGATAAGTCTGACATGTCCACTCCAGTGGGTTTTTCCACTGTGCGTAGTGGACACTACACGCACATTTATCGCACGCAAAAGGCTAATCTGATGGAGCATGTGCGCCCTCTACTGGCTGTAGTAACGTTCTGTCTTGTCCACATGCTGTGCTGTTAATGGTATTTTGTTAAAATGCTATTATATAAACCTTTTTGTAACACACAAGGCTTTAGAAGGTCCAAGCTAAATCTATTTCCGGGCCCTTGACACTTCACTGACCTATTTATTTTAGACTTTTTATTACTGGCTAATTATTTTTGATACATCTATATCATAGCCATCATGTTATATGAATCTAGCATAAATTGAAAATGCTAAGGTGATTTTCCAAGGTGTTTCTTTCTCTTTTTTTTCCCTTTTTAGCAGCTAACAAATACATGGTTAATCAAAGCTTCTTAAAGTGGAAAGCAACATTCGTCATTCTTTTCTAATGAATTAAATTGTAGCCACTGTTGGGCGTTATCTATTGGCTTTTGGGCCCTAAGTAACTGCTTAGATCCTGCTCTTATAAAAGCAATACTGGCAACCATGAGCAACTAGACTGGCGAACCCTTGTTTACCCATGACCAAAAGCATGCACTAAATATGAGGAACAGGAACTAATTTATTAACCCCTTGAGACGGAAAGGGATTTTACCTAATCATATGTCAATATCCAATAAACTTCCAAGTTAGTTAGTCTTGCACATATAACTCTATGCAAATGATTTAATGTAAAGTCACTACGTTATATAAAACTACTTTATATATACCCCTTGAGACGGAAAGGGATTTTACCTAATCATATGTCAATATCCAATAAACTTCCAAGTTAGTTAGTCTTGCACATATAACTCTATGCAAATGATTTAATGTAAAGTCACTACGTTATATAAAACTACTTTATATATGACACACACCTGTCAGCTGTGCGTATGCTTCTATGTTTTGACACATGAAAAGGAGTGGTTGTCAGGTTAAATGATTCACCACTGCCTTAGGATACACCTACACCGCCCTATTTGGGAATGCTCTGCAGTCTGCTCACCACATAAACCTGTTAGACATGTAAAAACTCTGCCCATAAGGCTGTGCCCATATTCTCACACGAGTGGCCAGACTCGCATTCTCCTTTCACTTGTGTCAGAAATAGTTGTTACCTGGAAGATCCTGTGCACTAATGGTTGTTGTGAAGAAAAGTTTTTTACCGGACTAAACACTGATAAGTAAGTATGTTTCCTTATTTCTATGTTGTATTTATTCATTATGAAAGGGTCATCATAGGTCATAAAACGGTAGACTTCATAAAGCTTTTCCATAACTTTTGTGGAGATCAATTTTATTTAGTGGGTGACTCTTGTACTGTACAGTCATTGCATTATGGATTTTCTGTTTGGACAAGAATTCATGTACTAATCTCTTGATGAAGCGTATGTATTAATATAGCTCCAGTTCATTCCAAACAAAGTTGTCAAACAGGACTGGGGAGGCGTGCTGTGTTGTGTTATCTTGTATCAAATCTCATTATGTCGTCAGATTTTACGCTCAGGAAATGCACCGATACCACATATATATGATTGTTTTTTTGATTCTTCAGTCATGAGTGGTCGCTTAATTGGAAGCAATGGAGACTCGTCTTCAGAGCTCAGGCTTATTCTTCTGGGGAACATCGGCTGTGGAAAGACATCCTCAGCAGACACCATTCTGGACCAGCAGGCTCCTTTGACCCTCAGTTCATCCAAGTGCCTGGTGCAACGGGAGGGCTTTGTGGAGGGCAGGAGGGTCACTGTGGTGGAGGCCCCGAGATGGTACTGGAGCCGCGGACAAATGGACGAAAGCGTTCGCAAAGAGACTGAGAAGGCTCTGATGCTGCTGGCACCTGGACCACATACTCTGCTCCTGCTCATTCCTGTGTTCCAGTTTACTGAGGTTTGTCATTTTGACTTTGATCACTCATGGGTCGACACTTATAATCTTCTGTTCTGTCAGATGGAGACTCTGGTTCCTGGAGAGCTCGAGGCGTTGTTTGGGAAAGACGTTTTGAATCACACTCTGATCCTGTTCACATGTGGCGACTATTTAATGGGAAAGACATTGGAGGTAATATAATAACGACTTTGAAATGCGTCACAACCACAGATGTTCAATATTTTTGTTCTCAATCTAGGAATACTTTAAGAAGGAACCCCCAGCTCTGTTACAGATTATTGAACAATGTAATGGGAGATGTCATGTGATCAATAACCGCAAAAGGCAAGACAGGAGGCAAGTCCAGCAACTTTTAAATAAGGTAAAAAGATACATACTGTGCATTTTTTTGACTTGAAAAACATTTCTCCGATGCTTATCCCATTTCTGATCAAATTGAGACTCTTCACTCTTCTACTGATGCATATCTCATCCCCAACAATGACGAAGTTTATTTTATGACATCAAATAGTGAGAGGCTATTGTTGCACCAACTTTGATTACGATTCTTTACCATTTAACACCACACATTAATACCAGTGATTATTTGAATGCTACCTGACACCAAAGTATTTTCATGTTTGTGTAGGTGGATGACATTGTACAGAGAAACGGCATACACAGCCTAAAAACAGCTGATGAGCGGGATATCGAGAAAAGAATCCAGGAAAGGAAATGTGAATTGATGGAAAGTTACAGAGCTCAAAGAGAAGCTCAAAGACTAAGCATTAGCCCAGTGTTAGACAACGGCACAGAAATCAGACAGACGACCAGCCCAAAGATGGAGAGAATTGGTCGTGAGCGAGATGCTTTTGAGGCACAAGTGGAAAGCCATCAAGAATCCAACAGGGTTCATTCAAGTCCGGCAAAAGAGCACAACACTGAGCACCAGTCACTGCAAATGACTCCCAGTTATAGACTTAATTCAGGTAACTGTAATCTTTTATTTTTGTTTAATAACCACCTAAAAAATAATAATTCTTCTAAAACGTGTGTGATCTTTTTCCTGTAGATGGTGCTGTTCTCTCTCAAATGTCTGAGACTCGATCTACACCGAAAGTGACCAGCACGTGTATGTTTCAGCTTGTCTTAATCCCTACACTTTTATACCAGGGGTGTCAAACTCTCTCCAGGTCCCATTTGGCTGAAAGTTTAGAATCCCAACTGACCAAGCAGGAACATGCAAAACTCCACCCATTCCTATATGTAATCAAATGTGTCCATCTAGCTCCTCGCTCCCAAAGCATGTTTGTTCTATCACCGTTTTTTCACACGCATGTATTATTGGCCTCTAAAAATGTGAAAAAGAGAGGAACAAGGCATCAAATAGTGACTCACTGGGCTTTTTTATACATGCAAAAGATGAAAGGTTTTCCAATGAGATAAAGACTGAAAGTTTGACTTTTCCACATTTTTTTAGAAAATGTATTTGTGAAAAAAATAATTAGGCTATGATACTGGAATCACTTGATAAAATGCCTGCACCGCGTGGTTAGAATGGAAACCTACACAGCTCTTTTTTTAGAACGAGTTTGACACCCCTTCTTTAGTCAAACAATATACTATGCCTTCATATGATCTAATTCTCTACTATACTATTTTCAGTGCACCATAGAATAAACAGCTTTGAAAAGACATCCCCTGAGGTGTCCCCCACCACCTCCACACTCTCACCTGTGTTCTCCTCGTCCCCTGCTTCGTCCTCTGCTTCTGCGTCTGCTTTTGCATTCACTCCAGCCACTGCTCGCTCTGCCTCCTCCTCTGGCCTACAGACTCCAGAGCTGCGCTTGGTGCTGGTGGGACGGTCCGGAGCTGGGAAGAGTGCTGTGGGGAATTGTATCCTGGGCCATGGAGCCTTCAGGTCAGACCAGGCCAGCTTCACTGCTGTGACACAGGACTGTGAAAAGAAGAGGGCGGAAGTCTCTGGGCGAAAGGTTTGTGATTTCAAACTTCAGTAGTAAACTTACAGTAAAGTGTTTTTCTTTACTTTGCAATGTCTACAAAACAATTTAACCCTTGTATCTGGTTCCTCACTAGTTATTGAGGCTGTGGGTGTGTGGGTTACAATTGATGATAATAACAGTGCGGTTTTCCTAGATAACTAATTACCAAACAGCATTACGTTGTCAGCTGGCAACCAAACAATAGAGAAAAATGGTGTAGGACTAATAATAATAATAATAATAATAATTCTTCAAAACATTATTATTTAATAATTATTTTCAATCCATATACTATTACATGAGGTTTACCCAAATTCATTTTAACGAAATGAAAATATAAAAATCAAAAGGTTACAAAATTATACCGAAAACTAAAATTTGTAAAAAAAAAAAAAAAAAAAAAAAAAAAGAAAATGCCTAAAAGTCTTAAACCCAGGGCTTGTCATTTGAAGGTGAACTTTTCTTTGTGCTGGAGAGCGCGTTGGTCGGACAATGTTTGTTGTCCTTCATTCAAATACATGCAAAAACATATTGAAATGTTTTACTTTGAAATACTTTGCTTCTGCTTTTTGTCTGTCAGAAGGTAGGTTTAATGTATCTCGTTTGACATTCTACTAGACTAGAAACTGCATGTTGTATTTTTTTATGATAATCATTTTAAACTGCATATTAGTTTTCTGTAACTACAATCTTGAAATAAAGTATATGGTCTTACCTGTAGGTGGCAGTGGTGGACACCCCAGACTGGTTCAACTCTGAGAAGACTCCTGACGAGGTGCGAGCTCAGATCTCTTCTTGCGTCACTCTATCGAGCCCTGGACCACACGCCTTCCTCATGTGCATCCCTGTGGACCAGTCGGCCAAGACCGAACTGCAGGCCCTCCAAGCTCTGGGCAGTGTTTTTGGCACCGACGCCGTTCAGAAACACACTATAGCAGTCTTTACCTTCTCAGACCGACTTCAGGAGAGCGGGAAAGCTAAGAACAAGAGCGTTGAGGCCTATATTTCCAGTGAAAGGCCTGATCTTTTAAACGTGGTGGAGAAGTGTAGAGACAGGTTTCATATTATGGAAATGGGTAAAGGTGGAAATAACGTGGCAGAGCTGCTGGAGATGATAGATCAGACTGTCAAGGAGGCAGGAGGCCAGTGCTACTCCTCAGCTGCCTTTCAGGAGGCCGAAGACAAGGTGAGGCAGAGGCAGTTTGAGATAGCCAGAGAGCAGAGAGGGCTACAACAGGAATCGTACAAACCAGGAGACTTGAGGCTGCTTAATTCTGAAAAGCGTCAGTCTTTCTCTTATATGCAGCCACTGAAGGAGGAAATGGATGAAGAGATGGAGAGAACCAGGGATGAAGCAGAAATGAGTGTGAGCACCATGAACATTGAGAGCCTTCCTCCAGTTTTACTCTCCAACTTTTCGCCTTCGATGCTTCAGTATGTCAGGGACAAGATGGAGCTGGGTATGAAGTCGTTGCCTGAGCTTTTCTCCACTAGCTCCTCTTGGGTCAGTAAAGGAGCAGAGTCTGTTAAAGGTAGTCCAATGTGGGGGAAAGTGGGGAGTGGAGCGCTCAACGTTCAGAAGATAGTTGTGGATAGCTCTGTTTGGGAAAAGGTAGGAGCAAAAAAAGGAGAGCTTTCCAAAGCTGTCGGAGGTAAAATTCCCAAAGTTGTGTTGGATGGATCTGCTTGGGTGGGATCAGGGGCTAAGGCAGCAGCAGCCAGTCCAGTATGGGGAAAAGTAGGATCTGGGGCCAATTTAGTAGCAAGAAACTCTGTGCGTCTTGGATCTGGCCTTGGGACCGGAGCAAAGAACCTGGCTCAAAGTCCTGTATGGGGGAAGATGGGATCAGGGGCCAAAACTGGAGCCAAAATGGTGGTAGAAAGTCCTGTATGGGGAAAGGTGGGGTCAGGAGCCAAAACAGGGGCCAAAATGGTTGCAGAAAGTCCAGTGTGGGAGAAAATAGGCCAGACCGCTAAACAGGTGCCAAAGGTGGTGATTGCGGGAGCTGTGCTAGGACTAGTTCTTGGTGTGCTCCTTGGTGGGGTGATCGGAGGCGCCATTGGAGCCGGTGCTGGGTCTGCACTGACTGAAGTGGGCAGACGCAAGTTAGGAAATAAAAAAGTCTTGGAACAATCGAATTTCTCTAATGTGGAGAGAAATGTGAGCGACACTGTTGATTCTATGGTAAAAAGTGGAGAAAAAATGTTAAAATACGAATGAAAGGAAGTCATTATGTGCATTTGTATTTATTTTGAACTCGATTGTTATAGGTATGGTGGGTGTTTCAAGTTGGATAACCCAAATTCATTTATTTAATTATGAAATTGTAAACATTTCTGCATTAGTTTGATCTTCAAATAAAGAACTTGTTTACAGCCCTGCGTTGAGTCTTTTATTGAAATCAAAACTTATAAAAACATGTGTGCATGAGTCTGCTTTCCCCATGGCCATAAAATACGGCAAGTGAAGTACATTCTTAAATAATATGGTTTAGTTTAAATCAATGTGACAAACCATGTGTGTCTGTATGTTTGGTTTTACGTTTAGTCTTAATATGTGACAAAGTTGAACCACCCTGGCCCAACAATCATTTCGTATTTCCCGCTTTTTAAATTGACCTTTTATTTTGAACATTCTGTTGATGCCGCTGTGTCCTTGTGCAATTTGTGGTTTTTTCAGAGGAGCAGATAGAACGGACAGTCATGGAGGCATTGTGAAACCGGTCTTCCTGTTTTGTGGTGCAGAGGTTTTGGGTACATCCTATCCTCGTTCCTCCATATTCGGCGAGCGCCCGTTGGCCATCGGTGAGAGACGGCACGTTCCCCAAACCCGTCGCATCATTCCTGTTTCACCACATCCTACATCCACCGTGACAACCACATTCATACTTCATATAAATCGTCAAACCCATTCAACCCACAGGGGACGTTAGGACGTTTCAGAATACAATGAAAAGTATTTCTATTAAATGTGTCATCAACAATGTAGAGTTTTCACCCATTTGGAAATATGTGTGTTGCCTAATAGTGAAACTGCACACTCTAGCTCTTATTCCCAAGTGTTGCTGACAATAGTGATTCTCATTGGAGCAAAATTAGAGGATGTTAAATAAGGAACAGCAAAACTTGACCTTTTTTATTTCGGTCAAATGCATGTGTGATAGTTTGAGGCATGAAATACAGATTTGCCTTAGCTAATGAAATCACACATGCTCGTGTTATTGTTATTAAAATCAGGTCACTGTCAAAAGCCATTTTAATCTATTAGGCGCCAGAAGTTTTTTTTTAAATTTGATGTGAAACTGACAAACGGTGGTTTTAGGGTCACGTTATAAAAGCAACCACCTAATAATAGATCAAGAACAACTATATCAAAACACATAAATAGAATGTTTTGAAGCAAAGTCGCTGTATAAGAATTGTCCTGGAATGTAGTTATGTAGTCATATTTCGGCTACTGTGGTTCCCAAAGTGTTAAAGGGACAGTATGTTTTATGCATTTATACAGGTCCTAAGCACGGATAACTGATGCTAACCACCTGCTGGGGTTTAGCTACAAACAATTAAAACTATTACGTAAGATTACTTATTTCTGTACCTGGTTGCATAGAGAAATGTGTGGTACTGTGATTTTTTTTTTATTTTGTTTGGGTAAAAGGACCCAAACCCTTTCAAATCATACACAGGTCATCATCTTATTTATTCTTTTCCCGTGAATATTTTTTTGTATATCTCTTGCATGTTTGAAATAAAAAAGAAAAAAAGAAAACTTAAATAAAATATGGAAAATCTGCTTGAAAATTGTCAACATAGATATAATGGACATTATGTGCATTGCATTTTTAATTAAGAATAACTGTAGTTAAGAAAAGATCAAATATGTTTAGTACATGTTGTCCTATTGGGTACACTCTGGGTACATATAAAAGATTGGAATAATATAATTAAGATACATACTGCCCCTTTAACATACAACACACAAACTTGAAATATTCACATGATGGGTTGAATACAGTTACTGGTGTGGATTTCTTTAATACTCATTTCATGCTATTTATTATTAAAGATATGTATCACATGCCTCAATTATTGCACTGTTTAAAACTTGCAGCTGCTTTGTACTTTGTCCATCATTGTCCCTGGGCTTCACCGTACACACACCGGGTCAAAGAGTCATCGCCCATTGTTTGCAGATGGCACCAGCCTCATCCTTTGACTTTAGCCAAGATGCTGTGGTTCATCAAAGAGCTCTCCTCGCTGTCTGTGTCTCCATAACAACTGGAGGATGCTGGAGAGTTTGTCATGACGATGATGGAGTCCGTGGAGTTCCTGTGAGCTGAGGTTAAGGCCGGAGGTTGTGGGGTCTGAGTGACAGGAGTGCCTGGGTCTGGTCCCTCTGATCCCCCCTCGCCCCCTTCCTCAGCCTGGTCATCGAGCAGCGCCACCAGGAAGTGAATGTATTTGACAGCAAGGCGCAGGATCTCGTTCTTGCTGAGCTTCTTGTCTGGAGGATGAGTGGGGATCAGTTTCCTCAGCTCGGAGAAAGCCCCGTTGACATTCTGCTGCCTCCAGCGCTCCCGGCTGTTGGTGAAGACACGCCGGGCAATCTTCTGTGGAGGGCCTGCTAAAACACACAATACACATTTTGCAAACACACCATTGATTCATAACAGTAGTGACAGAATGGATTTGTGAATTACTCAGAGTTACTAGTTTTAATTACTAGTTTTTTGTTATTAATAGGTACATTTTGCATTAAAGTGATACTAACATTCATTTATTTCAACCTCATAGTGTGAGGATGGCCTTCTCTTCCGGTTGTTGGCGATGATTCCGAAGCTCCCCCCAGAAGGCCCAAAGTAAGTGCTAGAGATGGAAATGTGGATACTGTTACATGGAGCATTTCACAAGATATATCTAAATAAATAAATAGTTCAAACTGAATGTGTCAAAGATTCTACTAAAGGAAATTGGTGGAAGAACTCGCAGCACAATTAACATAAAACATAATAAACTATTATCATAATAAAGTCTAATCCTTGACTTGACTTTCATCTCAAAAACTTGAATCAAACATGAATAATAAAGAATTGTCATACTCACTTTTGAGTTTTGCATTCAAAGAGAAGATAAATCATGTTTTGGCAACCTTTAATTTTCCATATTCATGACTTCCAACAACAACAAAAAAATATTTTGAATGACTTCTAAATAAGAATGTTTTAATTGTTGAATTAAGGTAAAAAGATCATTAAGTAGTAGTTTTCTTCTATGTTATTTTTTTGCTTTCTTGCTTTAATGGCAATACAGTAAAAGGCCAAACTTGGCCAAAATGACATAAAAATCTTGAGAGACAAGTCCCTATTCTAACCAGGTTAAACTTTTTTTGTTTGTCTCTGCATATGACCAATTCTATTTTGAGTTTCCTTGTGTACAAATTGAGCTATTCAAATAAAGTGATGGATGGATTACCTGGTGAAGAAGCTGTGCACAGGCGTGAACATGTGCAGAGCAGAGGATGCGGCCCCTTGTGCTCGGCGAGGGTCCGCGTGCAGCAGGGTGGGGATGGGGTGTAGCGTGGTCAGGGGCAGCGGAGGCTTGGTGTGACCCAGGCTGATCACTGGGATATGAGGAGGAAGAGGAGATGATGAAGGCAGCTCAGAGGGGGAGGTTTTGTTGGGAGCGGGGAGCAGTGGTGGAGGAGAGGATCTTGTCCCGTTAGGAGCGGAGTCAGACTTGTTCCTAAGCCCTGGTTTCTTCTCCTCTTTTGCCTCCATGTTGATGTTTGCGTCTGGGGTCGTGTCTGCCTGTGGTGCGTCTGCCGAGACGTGTGTGTGTGGGTCTGACTGAGTTGTCGTGTCGTTGTGGGATGGACTGAGCCCCCCTGACGCGGGTGAAGGGCAGGGCAGGTTAGGGGGAGATGCTGGTGGGCTGTTGGCACCTTGTTTCTCCATCACGTTTCTTCACGCACACACAGCAATTGTGGAAATCATATTAATGTGGGCTTTGTCTTTGAGAATCACTGAATGTCGCTAGAGCTGCCATGATGTTCCCAAACTAATGTTGCAGTATTGAACAATTCTCACCCAATTAGTGTCTGAGGAGATAGTATCACATTGTCAATGCAGTGTCTAAACGGTCTTTGACTTCTCATCCGCTATAGAATCAATATATTCACGTAATCCCATGTTTTGTTGATTTGTTGTTTTCCGTACAGATATTCTGTTATGTTCATTAGACTCAATCCCAGCCTTATATTTCCAGAGATTACAAGATTACAATCATTTGCATCAAAGTTTCTGTTGGACAAAAGAAAAAACTGATTAAATGTTAACGCAGGTTTATTTAATTTCTGTCTATAAACAAGTACATTTGCATAATCACGCAGGTTTCGCATCAGCCAAAGTCAAGCTCATATATAAACAAGAAGCTTTTTTTTTACTTTGAAGAGTTTTTTCCACCATTGTTCCCATTCTTTACTTTCGATCTCTGCTTTCCTCATTTTAACATTGTTGCATAAGAACAACTAGTAATTTGTCAGTCCTTTAAACCATTTTATAATTTGATCTTGGATTTTTACAAAACATCTTCCTCTGACAATTGTTTTAATCTCCTTAATATTACCAGTAAAATATGTATATATGTTGCGGTGGTGCATCCTATTGGTCTAAAACGTCCCATATCTGGCATTTTTACATTTTTGAAGTAATTTGTATCTTTTTGAGATTACAATATATTGTACACGTTTCTGCATTACATATTTTAGCATTTCAAACAGTATATTTTGTTTTTTGTGCTCCATATTCCTATGTGCTGCAACACCGACATAAATTATTTTCGTATCGCTCGATATCACAACAGTCGCCTCAGATGACTTTGTAGAGAATCAAACAATTAGAACACAGGAAATGCAAAGATGACGATTATAAATGTCCTGGATCATCACTGTCCTTAGACCCTCCACACCACTGCGGGACGTATAATGTTTGTCTTATCTTAAAAGGGCACATCAAACAGAGTAATGAGGCAGGTTTTTTTGAATGAATAAGTACTTACTTCATGGTGGTGGTCTCTCATGTAGTTTGAGGTTTTCAGTATTGTTGTGGGCTGCTCAGGTTGTCCCTCTCCTCCACAGCTCTGACGCTCTTCTATGAGGTCACCCACGAGCCGCAATGTCCCGTCGCTGATGACACTGGGATGTTTCTTAGACTTGGTGACACCACGACTCCAACACCGGGTCTTTCTGGGGAGTGAAGTTGCCCGTTTGATCTGCGCCACAGAGTAACAGCCGTACCAACCTTCCAGTCCATATGTCATCTTCACCTCTCTTCCTCTAACTCTCCGTTTTAACTTTCCTGTCTGTGCCTTGTGCCACTCTACTGGCCAGAAAAGGCACAAGGCTTTAGAGGACTGCCAGTCGCTTGGCTCAGCTCTGGCAAACGTGAAGCTGGAGAGAGTGCGGAGAGGGAGGGAAGCGGGCTATGGGGAGAGTTTTCCTCTCCTGCTGGACAAGAGGATGTGCTTGTACAATGTGGTGGCTGCTGATAAGAGCCTCAAAAGCTGCCTGTGGGCCACAGATAAGCAACCTGCGCCCCCCACTCCCCCTCGCGCCAATACCAGCACACACACACACACCGACTCATATACGTACACACTTCACACACCAGGCTGTTGGTCACTCACTGCAAAAGCATCTGGACTGTTTCCAAGAAAATGTACATTTTTTTCAAACTTGTATACTGTCCATGTGAGCACAGGCACGATTGCTTGCAACACAATAAGAGTAGTTTTTTTATTTATTTTTTATTGTTCCTGTGCTTGTACAAAATTGTAAACAGAAATTTTCTATATTTGGTGTCTTTGCATTTAGAGTTGTTTTATCAATAATGTTTTTGTTTGAGGATTACAGGCCTCATTTACCATCAGCAATCTCTTATTCACTCAGTTGTACATACTTTTTCTTTATAAATTATATGTTCGCTGGGTGCTTGGCTCAAGGACTTTGTTATTTAGCATGTATTTTAATACAGTTTTCTGAATAATTCACAACTGTTAAGTAATGATCCTGTTTCTCTTTCCTGCTGGTGTGGGTCCCTCTTCCTGACACCTGTGCCAGTGGTGGCCCGGTCTCTTTTGGAGCCACCGTAACCCAGGTAACTTTCCTAAACTGAAGACCTGTCCTTCCTTCCTTGAAATCATCAATGAGTGTATTTCTTTCCTTCTTTCTACTGTCAGGGTCACAACGAATGCTTCCCTTAGTCATTTCCCTCTTAGACAGACTCTTATACAAACATAAAAGCTTTGGACAAATGACCTTCAGGGTCCTGGGAAAGATAGAAAGCGATGTTTCAGTTCTGGTTAACAAATCAATCAACACATTCATGGTTCTACATTACAGCGACACATCAGTGAATGCGACAGAGACAATAGTACAGAGGTGCAGTCAGCAGCTGTGGTCACACATGGTCACACAGTGGCACAGCTGTCATTTGCCTGTAACATGTAAAAGCTACACTAGGGACTGAAAAAATCCTGTTGAGGTTTCCATTATGAGTCAATTATATAGTTTTACATTGAAGCGCCCACTGAAAGTCAACCAACACTATTGTATTGCTTTTCGACTTGTTCAACACATGTCCGTGCACACACACCACACACTGCCCGCCTTCCTTCACTCACGTAAACACTATTGTGTTCAGAGCGATAGAAATCAATGAAACCTAATTGTTTAAGACAATATTGCTGTAGAAAGTGGCAGACAATGCTGCAAACGTTGGTCAAAGCGGACGCTTACCTCTTTATGAGGCAAAAGACCTGGAACTGCAATCAATGACCTGTCGTTGTTCATTATTGTATTATGTTTTTATATAACTGAATGCATTGATGTTTCATATACATGTCTTTGAGTGTTGTATTGTGAGTGCCTCTTGTCCAGGACACCCTTGGAAAAGAGGTCTATGAATCTCAATGGAAATTCTCCTGGTTAAATAAAGGTTAATAAGCTTTCTTTCTTCGGCCTACTCCTTTTGGGTTATTTTATAAAAGTGTAATCATGTAATGATGCAAAATATGTTTGTAGATAATGCTCAAATACATACATAAATAATAAAGGTTAAATGAAATAGCAAAAATAAAAAAAACATCCATTCACAAAGCTGTTGAGTTGTCCGTCTATACAATATTAAAATGAGATTGGCCGTTTTAGATTGTTTCCAGATCAATATGGACAACAGTTGTGGATCATTGTAAACATAATGACAATCCAGTGTCAAATGCATGTCGATGGTCGCACATAGCTTCATTCCCAGGATGCACCTGGGCTGGGGCGAGTGGCCGGATGCTGGGGACAGCTGCTTCCTGCACACGCTTCCTGGTTTGGAAGAGGAGAGTTAGGTTTTAAAGGGGGAAAGTGGTGGGCCATGGAGAGACCAGATTTATGAAGCACTGCATGTATCACTGAGACAGGTGTGAGGAGTCGAGCTGCCTTCACGGGCTCTGGTTAATTACAGTTATCAAGTTTTTACTGGAGAAATTGACGTATAATAGTGTGGGAAATGAGGCCTATCGATTAATTGCCACTAACAGAACTGAAATATTTGTCAATTTAGTAATTGATTGTGTTCTGAACCTTCCCTAGACTTATCACATGCTGAAGAAGTTTTATGACCCAATGTAACAAGTCATCTTCTCCAGGGGCATTCCTTGAGCATCGTTTTGGTCAAATGTTCAAAACATTAATTTCAATGTCAGGATCCAAACAACTAAATGATTAATCAAAAGAATAATCAGTCAACTAATTGATTCTCAAAATATTTGTTCATTACAGCCTAAAAATGAGCATGAGCTAATAAGTTTCCTTTAGTAGAAGCTACCAGCTGAGGTTTCCTTGTACTTTAATAAGTCATTGATTTTGAATTTACATATTTATCATTTTATATTTGTAGCACCTCAATGATCTTGTTAAATGTAGTCATTAAGACATGTATAAAGACCAACCAACTGAAAAATGATTTGATTTTCTATTTGTACATTAAGAAAAAATTAAGTGTAGTTGTTTTGTACAATGCATGTAATTGACATGAATCTAAAATAAGAATGTGCTGATGATTTATTCAAACCATCTCCGTGTACTTAAACATTATGAACAAAGATGAACACTGATGCCAAATATTTAATAGCAAGAATATTACATGTTTAGTGCCTCTTCAAATTGCACAATTCAAACTAATATTTCAAGATCCAACATGGAAAAAGCATAACAAAAGAATAGCAAACATACAACAAAATCACAGACCATAGTTCTGTCTTGAATAGAAACCTTTGCAAAATATGACATGCCAAGAAACTGATTTAAATTGTTATGGCATTAGCATGTTTATTTAGCTGAATAAATATCAATTATTCTTGTCTGTATGATACATATTTCAATAAATAAGACAATTTGCACAGCTGTGGTCAAACAGTGGTTTTTCTCTGAGCTGAGGTCAGTCTCATAAAGTGGCCGCATTTACTGCAGCAAGAGTTTCCGTCCTTCTTTGGGATATTCCAGCAGTGTGTGCAGCGCACTCTGTACTTCTTATACCTAAAAAGTAGAAAATAAGCTAACATCAGAACAATTGCATTTGTCCAAATATTGTGAATTGTGTTTATGTGTCAAATGATGTGTGTTCTTTTTTTAATCAGTCATTTCACAATGCACCTGGCCAATATAGGGTAAGGATTAAGGGAATGCTTTCAAAAACATGTTTACTTTACAAGGTGTTGAGTATAATCTTTTGAATGTGCTTATATCAGATGCATTTACTTGTAATACACTCGAGGCATTTTTTACATTGCCTTGAAAAAACAAACCTTTTCATGTTGCCAGTATGAAAAGAACTGTCTAAAATCAATAATTTAAACTTAGAAGCATAGCCAACTGCTTCAAATCTGTTTTATGTTGTATCTGCAAAGTAACTTGTTTTAAAATGTCAAAGAATGTATAGATATGAGTTTCAAAGTAAGAAGTAAACAAATAAAGTACTGATACAAGACTTTGTTACTCGCCACCTCTGCTTCAGACCGGTCCTAAAAGGACATGTACCTTATTCCACAGGCGTTGCAGAGTGGAGTCCCGTCCTCAGCATCTCTCCACATTGGGGTTTTCTTGGTGCTGCAGGATGCACAGGCTTTGTCCTCTAAACACAAAACACTATCATCCATCTTGTGCATTACTGCCCTCTAGTGGCGAACACGGTGTACTACCATGTACAATGATTCCTCTACTCAGTCTATGGGCCTTTCATAATTGCAAAGACATTTCACTTACTGATTTCACTAGTCGCCGAGTCACTGTCCTCATCAGAGCTGGTTTTCAGAAATCTCTGAGACATTCTTGTCCTAAGCCTTGTCCTCTTCACAGGGAGATCCGAGCTGTGAGAAAACATGACTTCTGTACCATTGATCTAAAGCAAATGCCCTCTGCCGCTAACACAACTTGCCATTGAGGCACTTTCAGTGTCATTCAGCCAACTTCAGCTCCACCAATAAAGCTGTGCTGTACCACATTGTAATACCTCTGGAATCTAGGTATGTGTAGCCATTTGAATAAACTAACATTTGTTTTTGATTGAAGTCACAAAATGCCCCTTGTGCTACGGTGGTGGCATAAACACTGGTGGCCCAGAACAGCCCGATACCAGGCAAAACGGTTCAACAGTCCAGGTATGCCTACCCCGGGACCAGTCTGGTAAAATGTAGTGAACGTCTGACTAAAAAGTGTATACACCGCTGATCTAAAGCCCCAGTATTGTGTAAATACCTGTACTTTGAGGTGATGAGAAGCCGACACTGCTCCTTTGTGTCATCTAGCTCTGTGTCCATCCGAAACGTGACGCCCTGGAAGTCTGGGTCTTCCAAAGAGGCACTGCGAATGGGCCGAGCCTGTTTCCTTCTTTTGGATCTCCAGAGGGAGCGCTGTTCTGCACACTGAGGATCTTCAGAGGTTGGCTCAGAGGCCTTGTCACTGCATTCCACAAGATCCACTGCTGGGTTCTCTCCTGAGGAGTCTTCACTCTTTGAGGCAGTATTCACGTGAATATTTGGTGGTTGCTCTTCAAGAGAGCTACAAGGCTGAGAGGGAAACTGAGTGACTGTGAAATCTGATGAAGCCTTAAGATCATCTGGATTCATACAAATGTTGGCGTTGTGATCCAGAGGCAGTGGTGTTTCTGGAGCACCATACTTATGAGTAATGAAAGGTGGCTGCTCATCTGAGCTCAATGCTTTAGCAGAAGGAGCCTCTGCTAAAAAGTCATAGAAAGTGTGCTGTGTGGAAAGGCACTCTCTTGTCCAATCACTGCTCAAGTCCAGAACATTGAGCTGGAACTCTGGTATGCGAGGAGCCTCAGAGGTGTTTCTAGTTGCATTATGTGGGAAATGCATGCTACATTTCCTACTCACAAAAACTTTTGAACTACAGCCTTTGAGTTGACAGTCAGTTTTTCTGACAGAATGGCCCTCACAGCATAAGGGTGGTGCAGAGACTGGTTTTGAGTGGTCAACATCTGAGAAAAACAAAGTGGCGTGGGCTGGCTCATCATCATCATCCTCACTTTGGTGGAGAAGCTTCTCACATTGTAGATTAATTAGACTCAGTACCTTTAAGGGGCTCTGCATCTTTTTCACTGGCGTGAGAGGTTCGTGAGAAACACTTTCATGAACGCTGGGACAGTGACATGAAGAAACAGGATCTTTAACGTCACTCCACATACAGTCAGTTTCCAAAAAACTGTTGTGATTTGGTGATGCTAGCTTGGACACTTCCTGGAAAAGATATTGCAGAGCTGAATGAGGGGCATCTCCTTTTTGGCTCCGTTTTTCTTGAAGAAAACCTAATTGTGTCGTCCCTGTGCTCATCATTTAGCTACAAAATAAATAAAGAAAATTAAAAAGATTTTAAAAAAAAATATATTACAATCTTGGAACAAGTCCATGACTCAACACAGTTAAAACCCCAAAATAACAGGTTTAAGCCAAATAGGTTGGGCTGTTGTAGTCCAATTTACTCACCTTATCAAGTCGCAACAACCATACAGAAATATGATCTTTACAATGTGGCAACTTTTAAAACGTCCCAAAAACTCGCGCTCATCAAAAACCCTTCGGCGCGACCGTGTTCTACTTGGTAGTAAATGACTTGGTAGTAAATGACTTGGTAGTAAATGACTTGGTAGTAAATGGCTTGGTAGTAAATGACTTGGTAGTAAATGACTTGGTAGTAAATGACTTGGTAGTAGCAGAGTCTAATCTAACGCTACAGTATTGTATCGTAGAAGCAAATCTCTGTGCATTAAACATAACATTAAAACAACTCACTGAGGTCGAACATGAACGGGGCGAATGAGCACTACATTTACAAAGGACTATAATCACAAATGCTAAAGATATGTTTGAGAGTTTTTCTTTTTTACCTTGAATCGAAGTTGATGTGAAGTCGCTCTCAGCAGGAGTAGCTGTCATGATTAGCACCGAGACACAGGTGTAAGTAGTTTAACAAATTAGCCGCGTTTCCGCAGCCTCAGAAAAGGCCCATCTCATGTTTGTGCTGTTACACATGTACTTTTACCAAACTTTGTGTAGCCTGTCTAGAATCCAATATGTCAGGTGTATTCGCTAAAACTAGTACAACTGAAAAACACAAGTTATTTAATATTTTTATTTAAACTTTTAAGACAGGTCATTGTCATTGTGCGTGAACGTGACAGAGGCTTACAGTAGACTGAACAAATAAAACATGTCCATTGTAGTATTTAATAAAATGAATTAAGGGAGTCAGAAGGAATGATATATACGTTACTTCCAATGCAGTGTATTAAATTCTAAAATTATAGTTCAAATCCCAACACAATGCATTGTTGAGGCTTTTTAAACTACTTCCTGAGCCGATTACACATCCCTACATTCATACAGTAAAGGCCATAAAGAAAACAGAAGCAGAGGGCACCAAAACTACTGAAGACAACACTAATAGAAGTATAAACTAAAGGGAAAACATTGTAACACAGTTAAAAGCTCAAAATGAGTTTTGTAATTGCATTCATTAAAACCTCAAAATTGCATAATGTAGTTTTCTGAACCCCCTATTTTATGGCTGAAATTAATGCCCCAGGTATGCACATAGCCCCTGATTTAATGTGTAGACTGGCTATAATGAGGCATTGTGGATAAAGTCGCTGTAACAAGGAGGAATGTTGCGGCAATCCACAAAAATGCTGTTAGTGAAAAGGAGATGTATATTGATGTTGAGAACTTGTCCAAAGAAACAAATGTTGTCATTTTTAAGTAACGATGTAACGCATTATCTTTCCAGCTGATCCTTTTACTAGATTATTGCCGTTAACCATTGAAATGTGTCATGCCAGATCTTCTCGTGGTCCCTCTCACCAGCTACGGCAGGTACAACAAACGTGTGGAAAAGGGCATCATCAGTGAGGTTTAGGAACATGTCCATCCACATAAAAGTTCCTGGTAATCTTTGGTAAAGTTAACTCCATTCCATCCAAATCAGGTGTGATGATTATTTGGCATCCTAGACGAGAGTTCTCCTGGAGCATCGGTGCCATATCCAGCATGTCGTCCTCCCTTAAAGAACAGAATATTTATTTATTTATGGACATTTTATTGGAGGATGAGATGTTTAAGTAAAACACATTATGGTTTTCAATAATATAATAAATGAATTTAAGGCTTACTTCTCATCAGGTTCTGGCAGTTTGTCAGAATAATCAGCGTTTACATAAACATGACAGGTGGAGCAGGCCAGAGAGGCCTCACATGCTCCTGGAGGCAAACAAGAAACTATTAAATGTCTATTAAAGTCTATTTAGATAACATTATGACACACCTACCTTCCAGATCAACGCCATTCTTATGAGCCAAGTAAAGAACATTATCCCCCACTTTAGCCTTCACAGGAATCCTCTGACCAGACCGATCTATGTAAACTACATTGACCCTGGAACGGAACATGAACATATTCGGCAATTGTACATATGGAAATAAAGTGACGACAGTATGAAAAATAATCAGGCCCTTTTTTAGGGTATTATATTTACACATCATGTGGGTCTTCTGCATTGGAGTTCCCCTCTTCACTTTGATAGAGACCTTTATGGAAAGAAAACAAAACAGATTAAGCTTGTGTTGCATAGTCAGTCAGCACACACAGACGTATAACCTTCTTCACTTGACCCACATGTTAGCCACAAGCTTTAAAACAGTTTGGTTTTAGTGCGGTCTAAACTGCCGCTATATTTAGCTATAGTGGTTACATCTACTCTCAAGTCTCAGTATATAAGGAAGAAACGTCCCGGGTTGTTGGGGTGCCTCTCATTAGTGGTAATAAGACTAGTGAAGTAGCAAATGTACCAGATCTTTCTATAATTCTCCCCAGAAAAAAAACGACTGAAGAATTCAAACATTTAAGGATAACGCAGGCACCTAGATATTACATACTTATTTGCCTCTCAATATTATTGTAAACCTGGATTTACTTTTGACAGAATGTATGTTTATCAATGTATGAGTTTATTATGATTCCAACAGTTTCAATTATAATTACAAACAGACTGCAATAGGTCTATGCATGTAAACAGACAAAAGTGCAACGTTTATGAATGTCTGCACGTTTACCATACATCAGACTACTTGTGCAACATTACGTAGCCAACCTCTGACTTTGCCATTTGAGCAGTAGGGTTTGTGCAACAGCTCTCAGTGGATGATAATAATACAGTATTTGTTTTTGAATTATTACATAAAAAATATGAAATATATTACAAAAAAGTGATTATTTTGTGCTCTCAACCCCGTTGTTGTAAGTTTAATTCCACACTGAGGAACATAAGGATGGACCTCTATCAGGACAGTGTGATGCCGCTTTAAGATGGGGACATGTTGTTTTCTGGTAGTTTGGTTCATGTCGTCGGTGCAATGAAGAAAATGAAGAATACTTAAGTGAGAAGTGTCGATGTCCAATTTGACCTGTTCTCACCATGACTCGGCTGATACTCACTTATACTTGTCCGTAAATTTCTGTGAATTGTCCCGTAATTGTCCAAATAGCCTCTTCTCACTATCTGTGCGCTGTTGTCTCCACATCTGCTTAAAGTGCACACAGGGCACACACTGCACAAAGGTAAGAGACGAGACGCTCTGAGGGTCAGAGCCATGCCGCTCCTGACAGCTGCGGCGGCCGCCATCTTGGTGTTATCGTCATGTGACCAACACCAGCCAATCATTCATGAGCTCGCGATGTGTCTGCCGTATCTCCAACAGCCACCAGGGGGCGTTATATCCTAGCTCTGCTTCTGCACCGGGGGTCCCTTGATCAATGAAATCCTTGAGACTTTGGGAAGTACTGTTCTGTAGATTTAGAATACATTTACTGGGTTTGTCTGAGAAGAGGTTACAGGCTAAATAAACATCACCAAATAGCTTTCAAACTATTTCTGGACTGAGACACTTACATATATAAATTATTATTTTATTTACGGACAAACCCTCCTATATTTTGGCAATAGGCCAATATAAAGCACTGATTACAGGTTAAGGTTGCATATTCTCCTAACGGCAGACACACACATAAGAAGAAAAAACACTAAAAGTAAATATATTATGTAAAGGAGTTAGATATATATTTACCATATTTCAAACAGCATTCATTTTAGTTTGGATTTTGTATCCATAATGGATTAAGCACGTTCCAGTTGTGTTTGAGGCTTGAGACAGCATCATCATTGGTGGTTCAAAAACCAACCGACTTTGTGCTTTCTCCTCTTCTGCCCAGAAGACAACTTTCCCTTGAGCACATTACACAAGCGATAGGTCTGGTAACTTAGTTTATAATTAGAAACAGGTAGAAGCTCAATGCCCTAAGTCGTGTGAAAATGATTGTTTCCCCTCGGGACAAAGCAGCCGAGAGCTGAGTTTACAAGTCTCAGTTTCCCTCTGTTAATCCTTTGGCGTTTGCACCTTCAAATCGAGGTCACTTTTCTCTTCAGTGAATCATGTCTGAAAATGTAGCAGCACTTGACGTGGTTGAAGGAGAAACTCTTTGTCAGCAATGTTCCTCTTTTGCATCTAATCTTGGGTAAGCGTTGACATCTTTTCAATAGCACACAACAAAATTTTCATGAAATTAATAAATAAATAAACAAAAATATAATTTTATTCATATGACAGATTGAGCCTTTACCTGTATGTGTTATATTGTATAAACACAATGAGAATGGCATTTCATGGTACCACTGTGATGGATAGACTCCTTTGGGACATTGGAAAGTGTAAAGCTCCCATCTGCGTTGACAGAATTATTAATGGCTTTGGTACTAACAAAAATGGTGAGTATTTATTTAAAAAACAAACCAGTAAAAATAATTTGTCCCTACCCCCTTACTAAGCTTAATAAACAATTAGCTGCCAGCCTGTTAGTTTTGCGTTGCCTTCTTTTTAGGGGGAAGGTGAAGATTAATGTCCTTGCAGAGAGACGGCCTGCTGAGACCCAGACACAGTCCCAGTGAAACATGCAGTCTGACAGCTCTCTGGGGACCATGGAGGCGCTAACTCTGCTACAAACTGGACTTTGTCTGACACTGCATGACCCAAACACAGTTATTTAGTGTGCCTATATATCCCACCCGTCAATTTACATGTTAGAGTAAAACACAATGTCAAGTTTTAGAACAAATGACTTCTTTGGGGGAAATACGTTATGTTTATACTTTTTTTTCAGACTTTTTTTTTTTTCTAACAATATTTAATGGAAGTTTCTCACTTTTAATTAAAAAGCAAGAACATTATCTTCACATGAATCCTTTATTTTCTCAGTCCCTAGTACCCATCCTCTTGGTTGATACTATATCAATCTCCTCAATTTGAAAACGCTCTCTGTGGACCCGTACCCTCATATTCATTATACCACAACCACAGTTATTTTGAGCCCAGTCAAAACAAACTTATCAGCATCACAGCAGACTGACTGCAAAGAGGCGCAAGATAAGGCCCTTGTTCATTCTATTTACTAGAGTGCAAAAACTGGTTTCATGTATTACACACATTTCAATCACTTCTCTTAAACGGGTATTTATTAGGCACCTTAGCCGTTTTATGAGTCTGTGCAAGCTGGTCGTTTAATTGTTTCCCCTTGGTTAATGTGAGACAATACTTCTAGTCAAAGACTGATTTGTTCAACAGGATGTGTAAAATGTATCTTTATTCGTTCTCATTTGCCATTTATCTCATGCTATAAGTCAGACCAATATTCACATCTAAGTCCAAAGGTGCGTTCCTCAACTGTCCTGAAGGAGACCTGGGGCCGTATTCCTAAAGATTCTTAGTGCTAAAAGTTGCTCCTAGCGGCCAAATTCTAAGAATTTTCTTAGAATCTTGACCAACTCTTAGAATTTCCCTTAAAAGTGAGGAGTAGCTTCTAGTTAAGAAAAAAGCTATTCCTAAAGAATCCTAGCTCTTAAGAGTGCTCCTAAGGTGAGATCCCTTAAGAGTTGAGAGGAGGACTTTTAGCAACTTAAAAGTTCCCTAAGAGGACAAAATGGTGGACGGTAGAGGCAGGAGAAATATTCTATACACTGGATGACAGTGAATCAGTAAAACGCTGCAGATTGGATCCTGCAGGAATCATGTTTAAAAGTCAATCATGTAAAAGTCATCATGTACAAATATACAGTTTTGTTTTAACAGCAATCCAGTTCAAAAAGGAGTGTGAAGAAGTTAATACTTTTAAACTCCCACCCTCTATTTATCATTCTAAATTAACTTAAATAGTGTGGTTGCTACAGCTTAGTTTATTCCATGGTGTATTTACAGTTATGCAACAGTGACATTCACAACATGCACTTGATTTGTGTATGTATAAAATGCTTATATTAATATTTTTTCCTTAATTCCTTTTACGTCTTTAGTATCACAGCCTTTACTAATCCTAATGTTATAATCATCTAATATATATATATATATATATATATATATATATATATATATATATATATATATATATAAAGTGCTCATGTTATATACGTTTGTTAAATATGTGTGATAAATTGGTGCTGAGCAAGCTCTAATGATGTGGTGTAAAAGTCAAACTTACAACAGTAAGTTTGACAATATTAGTAAATACATTGATATATCTGACTTTCTACCTTTTCTGATTATTTACAATGACACAGTATTCCTAAGATTAGATTCTATGATTGAGTTTGTCCATTAGAGGATCCTTATTTTGCCCATTATCAAAAATATGGTTTCTCTAACTTTTAGGATCAACCAATCACAGCGTCTGAAATGATGACTCATACCTAGCAACGGGGTCGGCCACGCCTCCTCACTAAGATAAAAGTTGTAGTCCATTCCTTGCTCAGAGTTCTCTAAGGCTATATCCACACGAAGACAAAACGCTTATAATTTCAGAAACTTTTTCTGTAAACACGGAGTTAGCTCAGTAAATGTGTGCGTCCATATGAATGTAGTCAATACGCCTGAAAACGCTGTGAAACTATGCCAGACCTGTTGGTGGCGCTGTGACGCAATGACGGGATCAAGCCCAAACTTCCGTGGGCATGCGCGGAATTTTGTAAACAGACAACATGGCGAGTGGGCGAGCTGGTACTACATTAGTATGGACGGACGATGAGGTTGAACTGTTGCTTCGGGTCACACTGGATTACAAAACCAACAAGCTACATTGTTGTTGTCATTATTTTCTGAGTGCGGCGCATGCGTGCTTTAACAAGAGGCGGGGCGATGACACAAGCGTCTCAGATACATTGCGGAGAGGCAGTAACCACGGAGCGGCATATACGGAGTTTTGAAATCTTTCCACTCTGGGACCTGGTTTCAAAAATGTTCGTTTACACCCCCCCAAAACGCCGGCCTCGTATGGACGATACACTGGATTGATAAAGTATTTTTGCGTTTAGGCCTGAGCTTGACTTCGTGTGGACAGGGCCTAAGAGTGTTCTGGAATAACTTTTAAGCTAAGACTCCTAGCTAGGAGTTTTTAGGTTAAGATAGGAGCTCTCTGAGAGGACTCTTAGAATCTTTAGGAATACGGCCCCTGATCTTTGCTTGAGTTCATCTAAATGTTGTTTTGCCTGGATATTTATTCAGTTTGTCCTTTTACATAGCAAACAAGTATGTGACTTGGCTAATTTACAGGTTATATCTGTGGAGAGATGGGTCTTCACACTCCTCTTAGCAGCATGTTAGTTTTAAATCAAACAAAGTGACATTCCACTCAATAACATATAGTAAGAAGCAGGAATCAGACCACTTCACAAAAAGCAGGACTGAAGAGCACCTTTAAAATGATACCTTCACAAACTCCAAGCAAAACCCTATGTGATCTTAAAACGGCTTTAGTGAACAAAACGGTTGTTCCAGAAAAGTTGTAAATCATTCAATCGTTTTGAGATGACAGTTGCAAACTATATTAATGTTACTACTTATACTGCCAATACCTTCGCAATGAAGTCTGCGTGGTATCGTTTCAGTAAAGACCAGCTTCTTTGCACATTTTGATGTTGCGTTGGAGCTCACATGGACGTGGAGAAGTGGTGATGGAGGCTTGGCAGGTGGTGGTTGAACGGTCCGTTCTGGTTGTTCTTGGAAAGAGGCAGCTGTGTGCACATCAGCCTGGCTCAAAGAACCAGACTTTTTAGCTGTTGTTGTCACAGCGTCTCTGAGTTATTACAGTGCAGTTTCCTGTAGATAAGGCAGTGGTGTCTGGCGGTTACATGTGGCATGTGTTATTTTTTAACAATTTCATTCCTTTGCATGCACTTAAAATTTGTCTCACCTGGACAAATAAAAAAAAGCTACTGAAGTCATATATAATAACAAGCTTCCTTTTCACAGAGACACACCCCTTGTCTTTTGCATAGATCAAAACACTGTGAGGTCAAATCTGTGTCAAATATCATGTCCCGTGAGCAGACAAGCGAACAGGTGTATTCAGTAGAAGCGCAGTGCAGCTTGAGTCACTCACATTCCACGCCGAGAACACTCATAGCCACATCCAAACAACTCAGACGGCCAAACCAGTGCCGCGCATAGTGCATGTCCTTTAATTATGCACTCTTACTCATCCTTTCTCTGTTGTCTATAAGAAACACCTGGTCTCATTACTTCATCTGCACTAAAATATACACAATAAACCTGTGTCTGGGTCTGATCTTATTTTTAGACCTTCAGTCAGTTTTGCAATATACCTCTACCTTTCATACAT